AAAGCATATATATAATCTAAAGATTAAAAGTGTTTTTTAGAAAATTTGGCTCAGATTTTAAAAAAAATAATTATAAGAAAATTTTTTAATTAAGAATCCATGGATTTTTGAATTTTCTGACAAATTTTTAGTTAAGAATCTAAATATAAAAGAATAAATCGTGTTTTTTTTAGCCAAAAAAATTATGAAAAATATAATGAATAATTAGTTAAACACAAAATTTAAAAAATAATTTTATTTTTATTTTTAATTTAATATATTTTAATAAACTCATAATATAATATGTATTATTAAACTGAAATTATTTTTAAAATAATTTTATATTTTATATTCAACTTCCATCGTAATACGGATAAAAATCTGGTGACACAACTATAGTGCACGGGATCCTTATGTTACAGTATTGTTACTAGATGCAACAATAGGTTTGTCGATGTGGCATTAGCAATCGTCGCCGATTTATCAACTTTTCACGTGTTGCAGACATGTCATGTAACAGTATTGCAATATCTCATTGAAAACGAGCATCACTGACTACTAAACAGTTGGATCATTTAAGCCTCGGCAGAACTAATATTACAGTAATAGCCTTTTCTTTCTTTCCTTTTCCAAAATTAGCAAAGTAACAAATCATCGCAGTTTCTCTCTCTTTTTGTCATGGATAACAGGGGCAGAACAATTTGTCAGCACCAGTCATTGCACCTCCGAATTTTGAAAATTATTCAATTTGATCATTATTTTTAAGGACTGTTTCACTATAGGTGCCGTGCACTGGTAGTGATAACTAATTAAAATGGAAGAGTGAACACCGGGTGGATAGTTCGGATCTGAAATTCGTACGAGCAAGCAAAGATTGCACACGTATGACATTTGTTTTATCACGATATTATAAACATCAATTGGAGAAATTTTTTATCATTCCTGCAAATGCTAAAATCGATTGCTTAATAGGAGAGGGAAAAAATTAAAAATAAAGTTTAAACGATTATTTTTAAGTCCTAATGGGAAAAAAATCATTTTAGAGCTTTTTTTATAATTTTTTTTTCAAAATGACTCGTAAAAATAACTATGGATAGAAACAAATACACAATTTCTACATCACTTCATCAAGCAATTACAAATCCTAACCAAGTTTCTAGAAGAATCTCTCCAAAAAAATAGATTGCAATCGTTTGAGTTCTAAAACTTGCTAGGTATTTTTTAGTTTGCTTCCATGCTATTATTTGCTTCATTCTAAACAAACTAAGATTGTATACACAAGGTCAACTCTTGTCAATCACTTCTGATACATGGATGTTTTCATTAATGCAAAAAACAAATTCGAGTTAACTTAGGGGTTTCTAGATCGTTTGTTTTGCAGAGAATATTTTTAAAGGGCATAAAACACCCAACTATTGGATGTAGAGGTCTACTGAATTAGGCAATTTGCAATAGATTGACCGGTCACATGCATAATACTTCTTGCAAGTTTTATTATGGCGGCGCGTCGAACCAAATGCCAGGGAGCCGTGGCCAACCCAAATTTTAGATATGATTTCATATTAGTCCCTAAAACGTTAAAAATTAAAACTAAACCCTCAAAATTTTCAATATATTTCTACCCCATAGCTTTTCAATTAGTTTTATTTATTTATTTATGAAAGGTTTATTAGGTTTTGATCTACACAATAAAAACAGTCCTATTTCATTATATAATAAAATAAAATGGAATTATTAGAATTCTAATCTATTTCAAAAAATAAAAAATTATTAGATACACAACTATTAAACTATATCTATTTAAGTGTAGCATTTCAATTAACAAGTGTTTAGTCCAAGTCATACTGTACACGAGGTAAAAAAAAAACATGACTTGGAGTTAAAATCCTTCCTATGCTTTTGTAAGACAGTAAAAGCGCACAAACACACAAGAACCTGGTAATTTCCAATGCATGTATGTATTTTTCAGCTAGCCAGTGCAACAATCATGTATATGCCCAAGTGGTCCACTTGATTTATTGATTCTGCTATTTCGTTTGTTATCTGTATTCTTTTATTTCTTTTTATTTAACTACAAAGAATATCGTATGGCACCTCAAAATTTAAAAAGCCGTACGTCGATCAAGTATGGTATTCTCTTAAGGCGAAATAGTAAGACCTAAACAAAACGGTGTGTTTATTCTTATATCTAACCAAGCTTTGACGAAACGAGTAGAACTTAAATGAAATGGTCTTTTTGGTCTTATAATCAACCAATCTTTAACGAAACGAGTGAGACTTAAATGAAACGGTGTGTTTAGTTTTATAATCAATCAAGTTTTGACTAAATAATAATATTTAAACGAAACGGTATGTTTAATCTTATAAACCAACCAAACTCGACGAAACAAGAAAAATTAAATGAAACGATGTGTTTAGTTTTGCAATCGACCAGTTTCAACAAAGCAACATGTCTAAAAGAAAATGAAGGGACGAGTTACCAATAACTATCTCGCGTCCAACTTTAAATCTAAGACAGGTTATTGACCATGAGCTATTTAAAGAAGAGACACCGACAAAATCAAGAAACATAATCAACATACAAGACTTTTTAAACACGAGTTTCATTTAAGTTTTCTAGTTTATCCTGTAGCAATTAGTTTCAACTTTCGTGTAAGTAGTTCAATAGTTTTTATTACTTTCAATAGTTTCGTTGTTGTAGCTTAGAAAGTGTTGATCCATCTCCGATTGTGATCAAATGGCTTCGAGTGTTTCGATAGCTAATGATGCAAGTATTATATCTTTCGATTTATGATATTTATATTTTCTCTAGCGAGTTTTGTCTCTTTCGATTAATGAAATTCTCTCTATCTCTTCGGTGTTATTTTTTGCTGATTAATAACATTCCTCTTATTTTATTTTTTTCTTTAAATTGGGTATTCATGAAAAATTCTAATGACTTGCTAAGCGAAATCAAATCTCATATTATTTCATTATGAAGTTCTTGGTTATAGATTGAAGCATCAATCTATTCGGTTTTGAGGTCGAATCTGATGACCAGCAACAATAGTATCCTTGAATTATTTTATGTTCTAATTGATCAAGAATATGCAAAAAAATTTCGTAGACTATCAGACTAATACAGAATAAACGAAGCTAGTGGAACAAGGCAGCTCTGCCTCTTTCCGTTCAAAAAAGAGAGACTGCGACCTCTGTTTTTAATGACATTTCAAATAGGAGGCATATGTAGTTGTTTTCTATCTAGTCGGTCATGAACTTCTTTGTATCCATCTCAGAAGTCATAAATTTTTGCTCCACTGGCAAGTGTGATCTCTTGACAATCGTGTCCTCCCATCCACCGAAGCTTATTTATTGCAAATTCAAATCATTATAATTTTTTGTCGAACTCTTCGTGATATGCCGGTCGCGTTTCTTTTATGAGTGGAATGAATCTCTCTTATCAAACTCAGAGAGAAACAACATATAATGTTAAGCGAGACCCTACACGAGACTCAAAACAATGCCGTACTGATTTTCTGTTAGCCTGTCTCTTCTTTCCCTCCTTGGCTTTTATTTTTTCTATTGTACATTAGTTTATTCGTAAGTTTCCAGTCCCTCTTCATGGGTGTTTGGCATTTAGAAAGGCCGTAATTGTTGTGGTATATGCTTTCATAATGGTAAAAGCTTTTGAAGCGGCGAAAACATCTAGAAATATTTGAGATCGTGTTGAACATACATAAATATATATATATATTGTTATTTTTTTCCAATCAACGCATAAAAATTAGTAATTTTACAAGAGTAAATAATGGGTTAGCCATTTTTTTCTTTTCATTTTCAAGTACAAAAATGGGGCAAGGGATCTGCATAACCATTCGTGACGAGAGTCCTACTTTATATAGTTATATCGTTAGTTTATTCGAATTAACATATAAAAATCATTAATTTTGCAAGAGTAAATAATGGGTAGTCATTTTTTCTTTTCATTTTCAAGTACAAAAATGGGGCAAGGGATTTGCATAACCATTCGTGGCGAGATAAAGTAATAATATATATATATATATTCAACTTAACGTATAAAAAATAGGAATTTTGTAAAATTATACTAGGATGATTGAAATTGAAAATATACGCATTCAATTGATCGAATTAAAAACATAAAAAATTATTTGACTGATTTAAAATCACAGATTGTAAATAATGGGTTTAGCTTTAAAAAAATCCAAAATATCAAAGAACTTTTTATTTAGATTATGTTTTTTTCTAATATGTGAAATCTTGACGCGTGGAATGCAATTAATTCTTTTTTCCTTTTTTTTTTCAAGTTTATTATATGCCAAGTATCATATTTTGGCAAGTTTAGATTAGCAAAATTTTATTATAAAAACTGAAATCTCACCTGTAAATTCGTCATGTAATCAACATCTTAATGCATTGACATGGAACGCATTTGAACATACAAGGAAAAGTAATTATTTTAAAACTTAAACCAAATTAGGATGTTTTATTTTTCTGTAATACAACTCTTAAATCCAATTCAATCTACAAACACACATATATGGTTATAAAGTAACCAACAATACTTATTCTATAATTTTATTTTAATAAAAAATAATTACAAAAAAAGAAAAAAATCACATTTAGAATCAAAAATAAATTTTTGTATTTTTTTATCTAATTTTTCTTGATAGAGTATTATTAATTATAAGTTATTGATTTAGTAGTAAGTGAGTCGATCTTCGTACCAATTTTTTGTCAAAATTTGAAGTCCTATATACTGAAAAAAGTTAAATTTTGTAATTTTTATTTAGAATATGATTAATTCTATTACCTAAATAGGAAAAAAAAAAATTTCTCCAGCACAGCCTCTTTCCTCTCTACTAGGGATGTGCGTTGTACCCTCCCAATCTCCTCGATAGATTCCTCTGTCTGCCCCTCGAACTCAAAGCGGTAGAAAGTATTAAAACAGCTAGAGGATCTTATTTCAAACCTTGAAATAATCCTAAACCTTGTCTGTTTCAAATTCTCTCTTCAATAAAAAAATGAAGACCAACACAAACACAAAACTTATACTCCTCCACCCATCAATCAACAGAACCCCTCCTTCCTCTCACCGTCTTTGGTTACTCTTTATAGTTACCTTCTTTACCATAGCTTTCACTCTCACTCTCTTCACCACCACAACATTCCCTCCAGCCACCACAACTTCAACCCTCACCACCTCCACCACCTCTCTCCCTCCCTCCATAACCACTGCCCTCCTCCACTACGCTTCCATTTCCAACACCACAACACCTCACATGTCATCCTCTGAACTCTTCACCATCGCCACCACTCTCCAATATTGCTCCCCTCATTGCAATTTCCTCATTTTTGGCCTAACCCACGAGACCCTTTTGTGGAAATCACTCAATTTCCATGGCCGTACAATCTTTCTTGATGAAAATGAATACTTTGTCTCAAACTTTGAAAAAAACCACCCTGGTATTGAAGCTTATGATATACAATTCACTACCAAAGTTAGTGAAATGGGCGATCTTTTATTAGTCACTAAAGGGCTAGTTAACGGTGAGTGCAGGCCAGTACAAAATTTACTCTTTTCTGATTGTAAGCTTGGCATAAATGACATGCCTAATCACATTTATGAAATCACTTGGGATGTGATTTTAATTGACGGTCCTCGTGGGTATTTCACGGCGGCTCCAGGGAGGATGTCCCCGATATTTACCGCTTCTGTTCTGGCAAGGAGTAAGAGAGGCGGCAACAAGAAGACACATGTTTTTGTGCACGAAATTAATAGAGAAGTCGAGAGGGTTTATAGTGAAGAGTTCTTATGCGAAGAGAATCTGGTAGAGACTGTTGATTCATTGGGGCATTTTGTGTTGGAGAGAATGGAGGCTAATAGCTTTGAGTTCTGTAAAAATTTGACATCTTTGTTGTCATCATCACCATCTTCAACAACAAAGATAACATCTTTATCATCTGGAAATGATGATTTCGATGATTGAGATTTTGAGTTTGTGTGATTATATTTTTCTTTTTCTTTTTTTAATATAAAAATGTAATTTTAATAGGATTAAAACTGTCAAAAAGTTCCTCAAAATCAATCATGAAAATTCAAGTGCCGGTTGTTCAAATTCTTACTCTTATGTCTACTCTGTTCGGTTGATGAGAAAAAAGTGGGATTTTTTGAACAAAAATACAACTAATTAATTGATTATTAATTGGCCGTTAGTCTTCGAATAGCTAAAGCGTTTTTCTTCCACTGACTTTTATGTCTAATCTTGTTTGGTTCGTGAGAAAAAAGGTGGGATTTTGAAACGAAAATGTCACTAATTGACAATTAACGAGCCATTAATCTTGGAACGGCAAAAGCGTATTTCTCAATTTACTTTTATGTCTAATCTTCTTTGATTGATGAGAAATGGATGGGAATATTGAAACAAAAATGTGACTTAATTCTTGGATTAGCAAAGGCTTTTTTCTCAAGTTTTATTTCAATGTCTAGTCTTGTTTGCTTGCCGAGAAAAGGTGGGAATTTGAAACAAAAAATTGACTAGTTAACTGGTGTCTGTTAATGGGCCTCTAATCTTGTATTATTTTAAAGTGTTGGGCCTATTAATTGAAACAAGCATATTCAACTCACGCAGACACCGTCATTAGACCTCCCAACTACCTTTAATACCAAAACAGTGCTGAAAATGTCCACTAATTGCTCTTTTACATTTCTTAATCCTCTTAAAGAAAACGCTTTTGTACACTAAAAAATGTTGCCACTATTAAATTATAAAGATTCTTGCATTACATATATGTTTCAAAAATAAAATTAAAATTGAATATCACTTAAACTGACATACACATGCTGGCCATATTTCTATGTAATGTAAACTCTACTTGATTTTAACTGAAAAAAGAGTTTAGATTTCAAACCCTTTTAATGGATCGTACTAAATTCTAAACATGAGACATGTATTTTATTGTTTTTTATAATTAAATTATAAAAACCAATGTGAATATGATTAATAGTTTAGTGTCCTAACGTAGAACCAACACGACAATCTCAAAAGGTTTTTTTCGTTATAATTAGTTGTTTATATTATATATAGTAAAAATTCTAATAAATTTTTTAAATACAAACATGAAATAAACACAATTATTGAATTACATAAATCTATATTAAAAGATTTTTGTTTTGTCTATTTATTCTATTTTTCTTGCTTGATCTTACGCCTGAAGAAGCAAGCCTCCTACTTTATAATAACTACATAAAGGGCTCGAGAAAGAGGTTGGCCCTGAGAAATCATGGATTCTCAAATCCGACGACTAGGCTCCTTGCTTCAGAGTTTAGATCTTAAATACCTAGGGGTTTTGTTACCTGTTAATGAGCCTAACAGGAGGAGCAGAAGGAGCGAAGAGGGTAAAGAATATATAATTGTGTCGGTGATGGTAATTTGGGCTTGGGGGAGCTTTAGTTGACGCATTGCTTTCGCTCCTTCTCTTTCTTGATTGTTTTAAGATTTTTGGAATTTTGGAATCCACACGCGCTCAGTAGCTAAGTGACATCAACGCTTCCTAATATTGGCTTGCAAGCTGGTTTAGACAAGAAGGTTCGTGAGAGTTCTCGTGGGATTGGTGGCGCTGATGCCAGATAACATGCCACACAAAAAATAGTACTGCACTACTAGCTCAAGCCTCGAGGGAATGGATACCTTCACTTTCTTTTCTTCGTTTTACCCATCAATCAGTTCCTAACTTGTATTGTCACGAACAGACTAATATTCAAATCTTTAGAATCTCAGTATCACTTTCTCCTCAAGTTTTTTTTGTTGGATATGTTTACCCAAATGTCGGATTCCATTACAGTAAAATCATGAAAAGTGGCTCGAAATTTTAAAATTTTATAAATGATTTTATCATAGCATATTTCAGATATATCACTAAGAAAAACAGAAATTGAAAATTGTAATGTTAATTCCCAAAATAATTACATGGAGTCAATTTTTTGATAATTAAAAATATTTTATTGCATATGGTATGTTAAAATATTATGACTGAGTTGATAAAATAAAAGATATCATTTCTGTTAAAATTAATTTTGATAACACTCTGTCCATCTTGTCAAGTAACAAAATTTTGAATGTTTTTGCACTATGGATTTGTCCTTGTGAAAAATAGTATTTTACTGGTTAGTGTGGGTTTAAAAAAAAATTCAATTTTAGGGTAAGAAAACCGATGTAAATGAACTCGCTAGATTAAAAGAAGTAAGGGGTGAAATTAGCAAGATTTAGAAGGTTATGGACTGATGTACCAGTGAGTACATAGAGTGGAGACTGGTTTGCAGATATCCTTTTTCTGAAAAAATTATTGTGCTTTCGTACTTAGTCACGTGATGCACTTGATGAGAGCGTACGATATGGCACTGACGAAGCGGGAAACTGGAAATTGTGTCGGTGGAGGAACATGGTGATGATGGTGACGATTGGTATTTTGGACAGTCATGCCTTTCCTTGGTTAGAAGTAAAGCCATGGAGTTACTTGTCCTTAAGTTTCTTGGGATTTTTATTTGGTGGTCCCCGATGGTCTTTAAGGGCTAAGAGCCCGCGATGTCTGGAATTTTTGCTTATGATTATGGTAGGCGCCGATCAAATAGTTGCAAACCTTGTTTCAAACATCTCAAGTAAAATTGTTAAACGAACTAAACAGTTGAAGATTCTAAAGAAAATATGTTACAAATTCTAAAACAATAACAAGAATGACTGTATGAGCATTCTCAAATTAATTTTTATATACTAAATTAATTTTTATTTTTTTTTTATTTTTAAGATCGGATGGTAGGTGATTTTTTTTTTTTTTGGTGAGAAAACGAATTCAATTTTCAACGATATTACACCTAAAAAATAATCCATAATTATATATAAAACACAAACTATATTCGGATATTTGATTCAATAAAAATACCTTCGTAATTTAATAGATTTTAAAAACTAATTTAGTCGTTGTCTCATTTATAAATAATAATAAAATGATTAAAATTGGTCCCTTTTTAACAGCTCAAGTTTTAATTGTTAGTTTCTATTTAAGTTGTCTTTTTTTTTTTTTTTTGGGTTCTTACCTACTCCAACATTTTAGCCCTTTCTTGGTAAAAAGAAAAAAAAAAAACTAATAAATTAACATCACTCATTCACTTGTCTTTTAAATATTATATGCTTATTTTTTTTATTAGTCTCGCTTAACAATTATAATAAGTGCGTCATAAAATACACATTAATTTATTTTTGGAATGTATTTAATTTAATTCTTAAAAAATGAATTTTTAAATTAATTTTATACAACTGCCATTGATATACATGCAAAGCATGTACAAAAAATACAAGTAGTAACAAAAGATTGAAACCATAAACTGACGTTGTGAGTTAATGCCACCAAATCAACTATTCTTTTGGCCTCTATAGAGTAAGTAAATTGAATTTATTGAAATTATTGATCAAGAGACTAGTTGCTGCTTTTAATGCCAATGTCCAACATCGTTCCTGTCAAGCTTTTTTTCGATAGTAAGATTCAATTTCTGTGGTTGTTATATTTTTTATATTTGTAATATGAAACTTAATACCACCAAATCAACTATTCTTTTGCCCTCCATAGAGTACGTAAATTGAAATTATAGAAATTATTGATCAAAAGACTAATTGCTACTTTTAATGCCAATATTCAACACCGTTACTGTCAAGCTTTTTTTTTAAAAAAAGAAAATAGTATGAGATTCAGTTTCTATAATTGTTATATTTTTTATATCTATAATGTGAAAATAGATATGTACTTGTGTCTCTTTTGGTATTTTACATGTGTGTATATAAGATATTATTTATACATGATATTCTAGTAGAGATAATAATATAACTAGCTAGTTTGTGTACTTTCAGAATTTTTACAATTGATTGTGTTAAAACTTATTTTTTTTTACACATATGTGTGAACTTTTAAATTTTTAACAATCAAGTAAAGTTTGAAAATGTGGTATTCATGACATGAAAACATTACCGATGTGTTATTTAAGTGACTAGTTAGATATCTCCATTATGTCTGCGGTAAAATAAGTGTTGCCTACGTAGAATTAACGATTCGTATAACGTAGTGTAAGTACAAGTTTTATTCCCGGAAATGAATGTAAATCGAATCTATATATTGAGCGAAATCTTTTTATTTATATATATTTATTAACCAAATATTTAATAACATTAGCATAAAAATTTGTATTTAAATAATTGGGAGGCTCTTTCAAAACATTAACTACCTTGTTTTATTTAAAAAAATAAATTTTAAAATATGAAAAAATAAATAACGAATAGTCAATATTATTTGTGCAAATATATAGTTAATTTCTAACAAAATTACGATGCACACACACACACACACACACACACACATATATATCATACGTCACAAATTCGGATTATACAGATTATATAAAATAAATAGAAAAAAACACAAAAAACCAATTAAATTGCATGAAATATATCGAAGTCTACAGATTAAAATAAAAATGATAATAAAATTGATTTCGATAAATTTTGAATAAAAAAGAAAATAAAACTTATGAATTATTTTAATTGATTATTAATTTTTTTTAAAAAAAGAGTCAAACTATCTAAAATATAACCCCCTCTCTCTCTCTCTCTCTCTCTCTCTCTCTCTCATATATATATATATATATATATATATATATATATTAAAATTTTAAAAACTCATTTGAAAGGCAAAAAAATAATTTATTTTGTAAATTATAATAATATATTTTTTAAAAAGAAAACATTGGCGTTCAAAAATTTTATTTCAACAAATAAAATTATATCAAAAAATTAATTTGATGAGAATTTTAATAAGAAATAAATCATTCAAAAAATAAATTTAAACAATAAGAGTAATGTGTGTGTGTGTGTATTAAAAGAAGAAGAAAAAAAAACAAAAAAGAAAAAAAGTTTGAAGAAAAAAACAAAAAACAAAGAAAGAAAGAAAAAAGTCTGCTAGGACATATATACACATACACACACACACTAGGAAGGGAAAAAAAAAAGGGGACATGTGCCTGGTTGGCATGGGCAGCCAGGCTCACGTGCAAGCCTAAGCTGCTCCTCAACCAAAAAAAAAAAAAAAAAAACTTGTAACTTTCGACGAACTTGAGGTCGTCCGAAGCTTAGTCGAAAAATTGAGGGTTAAGTATCGGATTCCTAGAAATTGAATTCCAACATCATTTGTTTTTTCTAAATACATCTAAATGACTGGAATAAAATCAATAAACACATCTAAAACTTTAAATTTCATTTTAATGTACACCAAAACAAAAGAAAAATATACAATCAAATTGGAACTTTTTTTTTCTTTTTTGGATCCGATTTACCTCATTTAATTGTTTGATGACTTGAAACCACCTTGGACAAATTCATTTCTCAAAGATAAAAAAATCTAATAGATTTTCGCCGACCAAAGTAGCTTAAATAAGCTTAGCTCACAATCTCTCTCTTCTTTCCTCCCCTCTCTCTACACTCGGGGGCCAATATTGTATCAATAAATGAAGATATGGATCAAAACAAAATGCTCAAAAATATTAGGGATCAAAGTATAAAAATTTGCATAACTCTTGCCCACGAAAATTCAAAAAAATAACAAAAAAACCAAGTTACAGTAAATGAATAGTGATGAACAATCAATGTCCCAGTTCTTTTAGTTTTTATGTTAATAATGTGACACCAATGACATGGAAAAGCAGTTTTGGAAGGAAATTCTGTCCATTTCTCTTCTTTTTGTTTTTTTTTCTTTTTTCTAAAAAATATAAATTGCAATTAAAAAGCAACCTAACTTAACCTAATAACTTAACAATCCTCTTCTTCTCCAATCTAAAAAAATATATTGTATTTTATATTTTTTTTTCAAAAAAGTTAAAAAAATAGACGAAAATTTCCATTTTCATAAAAAACTGAAACCATTGTTTATAATAGTCACTTTATTTTTTTATATTTTTGATAATTTAATTAAAAATATTAATTTTATTTCATTCAGATTAAAGTTATCATGTGAAAGTTATACTTATTAACTATAAAAAGGGAAATAATTTATATTAAATTTATAATAATAAATTTATGATATTAACCAAATATAAAATCAAAAAAACAATTTTGATGTTTTATATTGCTAAAAGAACATTTTTATATTTTTTCTCAACTTCACTGAACAATGAGTAACTCCTAAAAAGTGAAAAAAGAAGAAGAAGAAATAAGTAGAGGGAAATTTCCACCTCATCACTTGAATAACATCTCAATAATATTTTCATGTCATATGTGTTACCTTTTTTTAATTTTATTTGATTGTTACGGTTTTGTTAATCTAGATATTCATTAAAAAAAAAAATTGATACATTTGATTGTAAAAATTCTTCAAGTACATATACTAAATATGTTATTATTCCTATTCTAGTATCACGATACGCGTGGAGACGAGGAAATCATATTGTTACCCCCATAAGTGTGAAAATCATAATGTTTGTTTGCTACAAATTTCGCAATCTCTCGTGGCTATATTTTAGCGTTTCTTTGGTTTGTCTAATTTTAGAGGCGTCGTGGTCATTTGACTTCATGTACTAATACCACTTTTTCTCTTCTTCTTTTATGGAACTTATTGTTGGAAAGCATTCCTGTCAGTCCATCTCCGTTTCTCCATATGGTTTCTATCCACACCATAACAATAAAGAGTAAAGACACTAACAAAATATATGCCTTAGAATTAAAGGAAATAACGCTCAAAGGATCTTTTACATAATAGGGGTAGTTCTATCCATTCAATCCATCCCAAAATTTATACTTGATGCCTTCAAATGTAAAACCCAAACCATAACAGGCTCAATGAGTACCGTTACTTTCTTGATGTTACCTTTCCATTTTCCTTCTTCTTCTTCTTCTTGTTTTTTTTTTTTTTGGGATGTTCATGTCTGGGCCAAGCCTTACATAACGTATTCCGCTTGTTAATTATCTCAATATCCACACAGTTGGCTGTTTAACTATGATTTCACCGTTTTGCTGGAAGGATGGGTCGTCCGGACCTTTTGGAATTGGATAGTTAATAATAGACGAACCATCACATTATTTGGTTGCCTCAGTGCCAATCTGCAATTTCTAAAGCACCGCAAGTGGTTGAACTTTCGGGGTGACTATTATACAAGGTGAGTCCCAAATAGAACTCAGAGGCTTATCTTAATCCGAGTGGATTGAGATTTAGTAAGCCTGAGGTAGGTCCAGATGGATAGGTTTTACACCGATAGCTTTTTCTATTACATAATTATAATTATCCCCGAAAAATCAAATGCAACTACGCTCAAACACTGGACCTCAGCCATGTCACGCCGATCGTACATACTGCTCATTAATCATTTAGGAAATTGACTTTAATGTAAAACGTTTGGAAATAGTTTACACTTATAACTAAATTTTTTGTCCGCATTATGTTGTGCATTGTATAAAAATACATAAAATTATTTTAAAAAATTATTTTAGTTTGATAGTCTATTTTATGATATAAAAAAAACCATAAATAGTTAAAGGAATAGTGAAATATGAGTGTATGAATAGTGAAATATGATAAATTCAAAGAATGAAATTTAAATAATAAGAGTAATATAAAATATATTAATTTTAAAATATAAAAAGATATATTATATAATTTTCCGTTTTGTGTGGAAAAAAATTATAATTAATTTTTTAAAATTTTAATATCCAATTAAATAAAAAAGAATATAAATTGATAGAAAAAAGCAAAGGAAAAAAACCAAAGGAAAAAAAGAAGAAGAAAAGGCATGTGAAGTGATTGAGTTAAGAGATTAAAATGTTTATTTTAAATTTTTAGGAATCAAAATAAAATAATTTAAAAATTAAAAAAAAAAACTAGTGAACAACAACGAACAGTATTCAATACTTGTTTATTTTATCGTTTTACTTTAGTATATTAGTTAATTGTTTCGTGATCAGAAATGTTAAGTTTTGAAGAATTAAAGAATCAAATAAAAACTTGTAATACAACCATAGAATAAAAACATTGTCAACCACGTAAATTTTTGTATTGTACTATTGCTATTGTTTTTTTACTTTATTTTTCGCTTGATTGGTTTCTAACAAGAACAATATAGCTTGCATTATTTTTCGGACAATTCTAGCAATTCAACTAATTAGCATGGAATTTGAGCAGCTAGACTAGTAATCTGGATCACAAAAATTAGCTTGTATATCAAACTTTACATCGTTTAGACAAACCTTTCATACATTCTTAATTTCTTCCTGGAAATTCAGCTGCATGTCTCAAAAGAGAACTGTAACTGACCAAATTTCTCTTTGCTCCAATCCTAGAATGGCTCGATGATGATGGATGCTTACAAGGAATGAAGTTAAACGACGCAGGGTTTGGACAATACCTAGGGTGCAAAAGGAAAGCCGCACACTCCAGCGCTGATCTCTGATCAGGAAGATCACGAATGCAGTTTTTTCTAATATCAAGAACTCCACTCTTCACTCGTTTCCTACAAATTGGCCCTAGTTTTGTAAAATAATTACTTGAAAGTGACAAATTCGCCAAGTTCCCTAATGCACACACCACCTCCGGCACCTGTCCATACAGTAAGTTCCCTGCGAGGTTGAACTGTTCTAGCTTAGCCAAGCATCCCAACGAGCACGGTAAAGGACCGGTTAATAAGTTGTTACTTGCATCAAAAAGGACTAGTTTTCTCAAAAATCCTAATTCGTATGGGAGGCAACCTGTAAGTAAGTTGTTTAAGAACAGCACTTCAGTTAAATTCGCAGAAGCTTTGATGATGCTGCGTGGGATTGGACCGATAAATTTGTTGTTAGCCAAGGTGAGGTAGAGCACTGAGGTTGAGCCTAGGTTTTCAGGGAGTTTTTGAATAAAATTGTTGTTGTTGAGGAAGAGTACGCTAAGGCCTTGAGTGAATACTTGTGGAGGAACTGTTCCAGTAAAGAAATTGAATCGGAGATCTAAAAATGATAGGCCACGGATTCGAAGAATCTCCATGGGAAAACTGCCAAAGAAATTATTGTTGCTTAGGTCTAGTTCATAAAGAAATGGTAGTTCGGCGATTTTAGGTGATATGGTGCCAGAAAATTTGTTAGAGTTGGCATGGAAGAGAGCAAGGTCAGGGAGTTGATCAATGAAGCCATCAAGAGTAGGGGCAGATAGCTGGAATCCATTGAAATCGATGGAAGCAAGGGCAATGGCAGAGTCGTTATCAGGTGGACTAGTACAGTAGAAGCCTGTGTAGTTGCATATATCTGGGCCAACCCAAGTTTGAGTGATGTTTAGGGGATCAGAGGTGATAGCGTTCTTGAAGTTTTGGATGATTTGATATACGATGGCAAGCCTTTGGTCTAAGAAGTTTAAGATTTCTGGAATTAATGGAGGTGATATCAATGGAGATAAGCCTTGAAAGTTTTGGCAATAAGTTACGGAAATAAAAGATGAAAGTAAGAGGATTGAAATGTGGAATAAACTTTGGCTGTTTAAAGAAATGCTTCCCATTTGATAAATGAGGTAGCTGGAGGAGAGTTTTGAAGAAGATGATGGGGATTAAGAGTATTTTCTAGTGTTAATTTATACTTAGCAGTTAGTGTGGTTGGTGAGTCTCATTATCAAATAGAAAAGTTTAGTAACGCATGCTCTGCCGTTTCTGTTTCGGCGGATTGAATCGGAGGCACATGTTATGATTAATCTCACTACTTCAAGGTCGGTCAGTGTATGATTTTGGACTTGTTTTAAGAGGAGATTTTTCAAAGTGTTTTAGACCTAAGTGCATTTATTTTGTGTTGCAGCTCACGATTCAAAGAAAATCGTAGAGTTGATTATTTAAACTTTCTAGGACTTTCTTTCACTGCAGGTTGAGGCTAAAAACTCCATATCATAAGCTAAACATAGTCAATCAAACTCTTGTTCAATCCACTTAACGGTCGCTGAAAGGAAATAGATATTCCGTAATAAGAAAAGAGGTGTCATTTCCGTCCGTGGAGGGAATGTGTTCACAGTTCCAGAAGCAATGATCAGCCATTAAAAGGAAATTAGTGCGCCAATAAGAAGTGGGAGGCTGGCTTTTGAAACCATGGGTCACTGGGAAAAGTTTGACCACAAATCACTAATGTGGCTGGAAATGAATTTGTATTTGTCCTTTGCCTAACAAAGTCCTTTTCGTGCTATGAACATGTTAAGTGGCGTTGCCTTTTCTGATTGTTAGGCACATTCGGAAATGTAGATGTGTAGATAGTTAGACATAAGAGTTATCAAGTCCTCATATTTTTGTCCTTAAATTCTATATGTTTTTTTTTATTCAATGATAATAGTAAAGGTATTTTTAGATCAATTTGTGCTTCAAATGGTTCTAAATCTCTTTCTAAATGATCTTAATAAAACAATTTTATTATCGATCAGATGTATTAAAAAAATTTAATAAATTTTTCTTAGTTGATATCAAGATTTAAACTCATTATAAATTTTTGGATAAAATATGCTCGACCTTCCTCAACTATTGGTCAAAGGGCTAATAGATCTATCTAATTTTTTCAATGAACACAATTCTTGAAAAAAATTTGAAAGGAAAAATTAGTTTTCCTGTTAAGATATATTTGGTTTTCATTTAAATTGGTATAATTATTGTTACGTGAAACAAAAATTCACTTGAGAATAACATTTGTTTAAGTCATTTAGTATTATGTGTTAGCTATGTGACAAACACTATATTCATTTTGGACATAAATTTAAACTTAACAAAAAAAACTAATTTTTTTTCATTAATTTTCCTCAGGAACTATCTACATTAAATACACTAGATAGAGACTATATATGGGGAAAATCCTGACATGTTTTACCTTAAATTCTTTATGCTTAGACCAGTGATTTATGAGTTTATGTTTTGATGTAAAAACGAACTTAAAAATATCTCAAGCGTTAAATAAATAAATAAATAAATAAAAGCATGACCAATTTTATTATCGAAGTTGCTTCAATTTGACCTCTCAAAAAACCTCCCTTTCATGCGGGAATCCTTTCTTTGGGCCCTCAAATATCAGACTTGCTTTCGCTACTACCGAATCACCATTCGAATATTTAGCCCAATTCATACTTCTTAACATCGCATCCAACAGGCCAACCCAATTACCAAAGTGGACCAAAACACAAACCATCTGTCCACCTTTAGGTTTCCCAATAAGCAAGGTCAAATAACAGCAGCCAGCCATGGGCTAAAGCCCATTTCAAAATAAGATGGAGACAGTTTTCCTTCCTTTATTTGTCAGCCATGGGCTAAGGCCCATTGAAAAATAAGATGGAGGCAGTTTTCCGCCCTTTATTTGTCAGCCATGGGCTAAGGCCCATTGCAAAATAAGATGGAGACAGTTCTTGGCCCTTTATTTGTCATCCATGGGCTAAAGCCCATTTCAAAGGAGACAGTTTTCCGCCCTTTATTTGTTCCTTCTCGCATTTTGTCTGATAGCAAAGAAAAGACCAAGACGAAAAGAAAATGAAAATCTCTCTTTGGTCCAATCAGACATGTACCCTGCTCTCGTGGGCTGATTCCAGCTGGCATTGCATGTCCACATCTGGACTATAATCCTTGCATCAAGATGTTTGTCCCGATGTATTTGCCATGTACGAGGGGCAGTTTAGCAGAAAGTTGATGCCTTTTAGATCTCGTCGTAACTCTCTCTCTCTCTCTCTCTCCATTGCATGTTAGAAATATAATTAATTTTATTAGGGAAAAAAAAATTATTTCGTTTAATAGATATGATTTCAGAAATGAAACTTTACATGAATAAAAAATTAGTTTTCATGTCCACCTCTGGACTATAATCCTTGCATCAAGATGTTTGTCCCGATGTATTTGCCATGTATGAGGGCAATTTAGCAGAAAGTTGATGCCTTTTAGATCTTTTCGTAATTCTCTCTCTCTCTTCTTCATTGCATATTAAAAATATAATTAATTTTAGTAGAAACAAAAAAGATAAAATTTATTTTGTTTAATAAATACGATTTCAGAAATAAAACTTTACATATTAATAAAATATTATTTTGAAAACTAATAATTTAACAAAAGAGAAATTAGGATCTACATTCTTAGTGTTCTTTCATCAGCTTCTCCACCATGACAATCATTAAACCAATAATTTGTTTTGTAAAATGAATTAAATTGTTTTTGTTAAAAAAAAAAACAAACTAAATAGATTCATGATTAATTTAATATTATTTTATTTCAAAAAGTATCTTATTTTATCATTAATTTTTTGTATTATTTGCTTATTTTTATCCTTTTTTATAAAAAAATAATAAATTGAAAAAAATGAAAAAAATTAAGTTACAACTAGATTAAAAAAAAGATTAATTAGTTTTTAAAACTAGAGAAATATTTAATTTATTTTGCAAAACTATGGAGATTAATTTATAATTTACTCTATAAAAAGACAAGTTTTTGGCAGCAAGAACAATTGAATAAATAAATAATAAATAATAATAATAAAACGTGCAACTAGAGCTAGAAGTTAATCATTCTGCTTATAGCAATAACAATAACAATAATAATTATAATAAAAAACAGTCTTTGACATTTCTCTGAGTGAAAATTTTGTCTTCCTTGCTCCATTATTCTTCTCTACTGTATTCTTCGCAAGCATCATTATTGAAGCACCGACACCGCTATTCCAACTGTCATTTATAATGACTTGATTTCGCAAGACCTCGAGGTCCGAATCCAATTAGAGTTCATGAGAAATATATATATATATTTTTTATATGAATGTACGAAAGAACTAGATCAATCTGCAGATTCTAAAACTCGATCCTTTGAAAAACTTAGTGCTGTTGTTAAAAAAATGACACAACAATACCCAAACTTCACAGTTCAAACTTAAAACCAAGAAAATTACTAAAAAAAAGGCTAAAAAACTTGTCTTTGCATTTACCACTAACTACAACCTTTTCACCTAGAGTCCTAAGCAGTAATATAATACGACCACCTATCAAAAGGGTAAAGGAAAAGAGTACAGTGAATGAATCCTCATTGTTCTTCGAGTATAATGGTCACCAAGAAGTGCAGCCAAGAAATTGGAAAGGAAACAGAAAGTAAAGGGGGAAAATAATATTAAAATATAAAGTTGCATCTGCTTTGAAAGCAGAATTGGATTTACATGGACGATTATTCACTATAGTTTATAATGACAAACTACGAACAGATTAGGAGAAATATGTATACATAGCACCAAGCACATCAAGAGACTATCTTAAAGGGACCTATTAAAACCGCAACTTATGTGGTTTAAGAGCATTATATGTCACAGGTGCAGCAGCCGGGGCCACTGATTGTTGATCAGACGTCTTCAATGAACTCGAATAACCATCCTTCCTACAAGGAATATAGTGGAGTGACCTCTCATTGGGACTCTCATTGGGACAAGTCCTGTGTTTTGCGAAGAAGGCAGCACAATCAGCTGCTGATCTCTGACCAGGAAGATCCAAAATGCAGTTCATTCCAACATCAAGAATCCTTTTCTTTATCAAACTCCTGCACTCGGGTCCAACCTGAGTGAAATAGTTGTTTGACAGAGACAAGTTTGTTAATCTAGGCAAGTCGCACACCATCTCTGGCACCGGTCCGTAAAATTCGTTTCCGGCCAAATTCAGGGTCTCCATCTTTGCTAAGCATGCAAATGAATGGGGTATTGGGCCAGTCAACTTGTTGCTGCTCGCATCAAAAAGGGCAATCAATTTCAATTTGCCAATCTCGTATGGCAAGCACCCGCTGAACTTATTGTTCAAGAAAAGCACTTCAAGAAGGTTTCGGGCATTGCCGATACTTCTTGGAATTGGACCAGTGAACTTGTTATTAGCAAGAGTGAGATAAATGGCAGGTGTGGAACCGAGATTATCAGGAAGCTGTTGTGAGAATTGGTTGTTGTTCATCAAAAGTGCATCTAAGTCTAAGGTGAAGACTTCAGCTGGAACTGGCCCTGAAAATGAGTTGAACCTCATGTCTAAAAAGGTTAAGTTGGTGGCTTGAAGAACAGACACAGGGAATCCACCAGAGTACTTGTTGTTGCTGAGATCGAGCTCAAACAAGTAGCGGACTCTTGAAGTACTAATATTCTTTGGGACAGGGCCACTGAAATTGTTGGAGTTTGCATGAAAGATGGATACGTCCAGCAACTGATCGATGAAATCAGTAAGCTGAAGATCAGGGCCACCAAACAAATAGCCATTGAAATCTGCTGCTGCAAGGGCAGTCACTTTCTGGTCAGGTACAGTTGCACATGCAAAGCCCGGGTAATGACAGACATCATTTCCCGTCCATTTATCTGTAATTTTTAAGGGGTCAAAAGTAATTTTTTTCTTGAATTTCTGAATTGTGAAATAGTCTCTTTTGATGTTTTTGCTCGGAAAGGCGGGAGGTGGCGATTTGGGCGGCGGCGGCGGTGGAGGAGGTGATGGGGGAGGGGGTGGCGATGGAGATGGTGGCGGCGGGGGACAAAGGGGCTCGGGAGGTGGAGGAGGCGGACAATATTCATTTTCAGGAGAGGGGGCTGGAGAATATCCACCCCCACCTCCACCTATGATTATTTCTAATGCTTCCCTCTCCGTCCCAAGTACTGCATTATTGGCAGCTACATTATAACGCAAGCATGGATGAAAAATGAGAGTGAAAAGAAGAATGGAAGAACAGAAAGAAGCAGTAGCCATCGATAAGGGTTTCTGGACTTAAGAGAGTCGATAGAAATAAAGAAACGCATATAAAGAGGGTGGGTGGGCCATGAGTAAGGTAAGTAAGTGACGTAGCTGAAACCCATAAGAAAAAGGATAAACACTGTGAATCTAAAATTTAAATGTTAGTATACTGATTCAAAGAATATTAAAAATTAAGAAAATTGAAATATTTTTTTATAAAAGCTGATTAATCAAATAAAAGTATAAATTTTTAACTTCAAAGTAATATATGAATAGTAAATTTAGATTAAAATTTTAAAATAATTCAAAAAAAAAACAAATACTAAAAAATTCAAAAAACATTAAAAATTAATTTTGAGAACTTAAACGATTTTTTTTTTTAATCAAAATCACTCTTACATTATAAGAAAAGTAATAAGTTTTGATCATTATTGCGTTTCACATCGAATTAAGTTTTAAAAACCTTTAAATTGAATCAATAATTTTGCTTGATTTTTACCTTGTTTAAATTGTTTCATGAATTTCGACAGCTGTTAGTCCGCATCAGAAAGTCAGGATTCCCGAACCTACAAATGCGTACAATAGAAAAGTTGTCTTGGCGTGGGACTGTTGGGATCTCATTCTCAGAGACACATAGTTTCTGCATTACTGTCTGCCACTCCATCCCTACGCAATTTCCCTTTTTTTTTTCGGACAGACTGATATCCTGGCTTGTTTCGAAGCGTCCTGATAGTGTGGTCCTGGATACGATATAAATATTTGGAAAAATTAATCATAATTCCTTAATGATTTCCCAATGAGTTATATTGCTTATGCATTCTGGTAAACCTTTAGTTTGAATTTTCAAAGTACCTTCTGTAAGAAACTTTTGGTCCCATTTGCTGCTGAAGATGAAGGTATATGGGGCATTTTGAGCTTCAAAGCCACTATAACCTCTCTTTCTGCAACTGTCTTATAGCAATAGCATAAAGGACAATGGCACTTTTTTTATTCAATAATTGGATCTTGACATGAGGGGACCAACATCTCAAATTAATGAAGGTCATCTGTCACGATAGGGGAGTTTATCTAGTTCATTATTCGCACCTAGACTTATATGGCATATTTTTTCATAAAAATAGCACCATACACTGTTAGGGCATTCAAAGTGGAAATGATTTAAGAGGTTTAAAATGCAATGAGAGAACCAAGAAATGCAATACGAGGTTTAAAAAATATCTAGTCCAGTAGTAAGCATATCGTTCTTTAAACGAATTTTCTTAACATACATGATTTAAATTTTAAAATCTTATTTGTTGGAAAGAGTTAAATTTTATCATTCTTGTTCCAAACATGATTATTTTAAAACCAAGAAAAAAAATGCAATGAAAGACAAATCTCAACAATTAAGAAACGATGATGACCCATCTAATTTCATATGCTAAATTTATGTTACATTAATAATGCAATTTTTTAATATTCACAGTTTTTGTTATATTTGTGAGACTTGATTATAAATAAAAAATAATAATGATATTTGAATTAAAAAAATTAAAGTTGAGATATCAATTAATGTTTGACCAATAATACAATGTACTATCAAACCATTTGGGCTATCCGTGACATACTATGAGTGACGAGGCGGCTATATGTCTCCGGGTTGGCTGTCCATTGAGCCCATGTGCAAATGATATTCTTCAGCTTAAGGATCTTTCACTAGAGTCCCCACTTTGACAAGTAATTTGATACAGACGAGTATGTATTAAAACCTATGGTCTAAAATAGGTGAAGAAAAGTCAATTTGAAAAAAAAAAAAAAAAAAAAAAAAGACCTACTGCAGATATATTATTGTCTACACAATCGACCAATTGGCCTCTCGGATCAGGGGTTGCAACTGCATTCAACATTTCTATCGTTCCATGGCAGAGAAGCATGGCAACGTTAATTTGAGAAAAATGCAAAACTTTCCATGCCCAAAATGTGTTTAGCAGGAGAACCAAATAGTCAAAACACAGACAATTGGTCTTATCATCATTAACACCTAAAACAACTCTGTTCTTTTGAAATATGTTCTTTTTTTTTTTTTTTTTGGTGATTATATCATGAAAAAAGCTTATTTTTCGTTGTGTAGTACAAAATCCATAGATATCCAATAAAAAAATAAAAACAACTCTTTACCTTTTAAAGCTTATTGTAATTAAGATGAATTATAGCACTTGGCATCCCCATCTCACCATCAGAATTATTGAACGCTTCCCTTCTGTTTCCTACTTGAGAATAAGCAAAGAAGAATATGGAATGCTAAATGATGAATCAAATTCTCTTAATAAAATATCATCCCCAATCTAAAATTAACCGAGCAAAAAGAGAGCAGTGTAAGAATGAAAAAGATACCTTATAATAAAAGCAAAACAAATAAAAAAAAAGTCTCTGCATATGAAGTTAGCTATCGTACCATGATAAAAAACCATTCAACTGGATCAGACGTCAGGGGGTTGAGGTGCACTAGAATTTGGTCCCAAGTTCAGGTCTTTGAGGAAAAAAACGATGCAACGGTCATGATTATGTGGGCAAAAGGATCCAATGGAACAAGACTTTGACTGAACAATCAAAGAGGGCCTGGGCTCTTCAGAAAACCAATCCAATTGTCTACAGAGCTAAGTGAATCGAACTCAAATACACGTTCAGGGGGTAGACATTACTTTCTCAATACTAGTGGTTCAAATTAAATTCCAGCCCACCAAATATGGATTCTACCTTTCATCAACACCCAAACAGCCCAAATTCTTACCAAAACATGCATGCATACTCATTTCATGGAACGTTACATACCACACCTAAGATTTTCTAAGCCCAAGAATTTCTGAACTGAAAGGTCCAACAAACGTCAATGGAACCTTGGCTTACAATACAATCATGCAAAAGGAGAAACTGTATAATTTCCAGAGTCCTATGAAACATAAAGTCAGATGCGAAACAGACCCAAGTTAATAACCCCGTTAGTTAGAACCACGACAATGACTAAGAGAAAAATCTTAAAACAGTTGTTCATCACAAATTCATCTCTCACACATGAACTTGTCAGCCAATGAAAAGGAAAATTCTTGCACATAAGAGTCAAACTTGAATAATATATTCTGCAATTTAAAAAAAGGCAACCAACCTCAATGAAGATAAGATCAAGACAAGAAAATTCACAATCAAGACCTTTCTTCTGTTACAATAAGTCTTTGACGAGAAAAGTGGTAACAAAAAAAAAAAAAAAAACAGAGAAAGCAATATTTCGTGAAAAAGAGGGCAAACTAAAATATAATCCACTTATTTTCAATGACTTTCCAATATTTTCTTCAAGCCGTGATTTGGGGGTGCGGGTGTTCTTGCTTGCTTGGTTACCAAGTTTGACTGCTAAATAGTCTCAATCAGAGAAAATCAAGTTCTTATTATGTTTCCAGGAATCAGCCCAGTTATCTAAGAGAATTATTAAATTTTTATATTCCAGAAAAGCAACCTTTGTATATATTTTATGTTGACATGTTCACTAGGAACATGCTTGGAAACCAAGTCATTTTTCTCTGTTTTACTTCATAAGGAACAGTGCGTGTCTATATATATATATATATATATATGAAACCATAGATTAGACGATGAGGGCAAGAGCTAGCATTTTCCCAAGGAAAATAAACCCAAAATTAACCTAGCTTATGCATCCCAACTTTCCAACCATCACCGGACCACTTAATCATTGGCTCTAAATCTGCACCTGTTCTACCAGACCACATGGATTCAAAGCCATATCAGCTTAATATCCTATTTTTCCCACACATGGCTCATGGCCACTTGATCCCAATCATAGACATGGCAAGATTATTTGCTAGGCGTGGGGTGAAAGCAACCATTGTTTCCACTCCTCTCAACGCAGCCCTCTGCTCTAAAACTATTGAAAGAGATAGACAACTGGGTCTTGATATCAGTATTCAAATCATAAAATTCCCATCTGCAGAGGCTGGGTTGCCGGAGGGATGTGAGAACATAAGTGCTATTACCTCGCCCGACATGCTTCCGAATTTCTTCAAGGCAATCGGCATGCTTCAGCAACCACTTGAACAGCTCCTAGAAGAATGCCATCCCAGCTGTCTTGTGGCAGACATGATGTTTCCATGGGCTACGGAAGCTGCAAACAAGCTCGGGATTCCAAGGTTGTTTTTCAATGGGACAAGTTTTTTTGCTATGTGTGTCTTTGATTCCCTAAAACGCCATGAACCTCACAAAAGAGTGGATTCAGATTCCGAACCATTCACAGTGCCTGGTTTACCAGACCAGATAAAGCTGACAAGATTGCAACTGCCAACTTACCTTAAAGAGACAACTGAGAATGAATTCACAAAGCTGATGGATCAAATCTCACAATCAGAGCTGAGAAGCTATGGAGTTATCATGAACAGTTTCAATGAGCTGGAGCCAGCTTACTCAGAGCACTACAGGAAGGAAATGGGAAGGAAGGCATGGCAAATTGGGCCGCTGTCCCTTTGTAACGGGGACATGGAAGATAAAGCAGGGAGAGGCAACGTCTCCTCCATTGATGAACATGAATGTTTGAGATGGCTGGCCAACAAGAAGGACAACTCAGTTCTATATATATGTTTTGGAAGCGTCTTCAACCTTCCAGGTACTCAGTTACTTGAGATTGCCCTGGCTCTTGAAGCTTCTGGACAGAATTTCATTTGGGTTGTGAGAAAGGGAGAGCTAACAAAGCATGCAGACAAGGAAGAGTGGTTGCCAGAAGGATTTGAGAAAAGGATGGAAGGGAAGGGCTTAATAGTATGGGGGTGGGCACCCCAGGTGTTGATACTTGATCATAAGGCTGTTGGAGGGTTCATGACTCACTGTGGTTGGAACTCGACGTTGGAGGGAGTGACTGCAGGGGTGCCAATGGTCACATGGCCACTTGGTGCAGAACAATTTGGCAATGAAAAACTGATTACAGATGTTCTCAAGATAGGCATTGGAGTTGGTACCCAAGAATGGTCAAGATATGAAAAGAAAATTATAGTGAGGAAGGAGGACATAGAGAAGGCAATTGCTCAGTTGATGGCTAGTGACGAAACTGAGGAAATTAGAAACAGAGCAAGGGAACTGAAAGAGATGGCAAGGAGGGCTACGGAAGAAGGAGGATCATCTTTCGCTGATTTAACGGCATTGGTAGAAGAATTAAGGGCCCTTGAGACAAGCAAGCGAGAACGCAAAGTACATTGACAAGACCGTATTGTTATAATTTCCTATCAGAATGTTCAGAAAATAAGCAATGCTTTTAGCACATAGCATTCTCAAAAACAGAATGAATAGACCAAAAAAAAAAAAAAGGGTCATTTAATAATAATTGCTGCTTACACCTTATAGATGAAGTTATCAACCATATAAGTATCATAAGCCATTGATTGGACTGGGCCAATGGTGAGGATTGGGGTGCACTAGAGTATAATCCTTCTTAAACTTCTTTAGGGAAAACCATGCAATGGCCATGAATATGTGGGCAAAAGGATTCCATACAGTAAAATTTTGATTGAAAGACAAACAAGTTAAGGGCATTGGGTCTTCAGACAACCAAACCAATTGAGAACAGTACTAAGTAGGTCTGAACCCAAATACACAATTCAGCGGCTAGACATTACTTTCCAAAACTCCTGGTTCAAATTGACTTAAAATTCTTTCCCAGAAATAAGGATTCCATCCCAACTTCGATAGAAACATGAAAAAGCCAAAATTTTCATCTAAATTATATAAACTGAGAATTTCAGAAGTTAAAGGTCTAATGTTGGACTTACTGCAATTGAAAACTAGAACCCACAGTCATAAGACAGGAAAAACTATAATTTCCATTGTCCAATGATGAAGTTAGCTACAAAACAGCACACTTCACCCGACCCGTACCCATGAACCCCGTCAGTCACAAGCATGACAAATCTTATTTCACTTATAACCACAAATCTTAATGCACCTACATCAGATGCTCATACACAAACTTGTCAGCCAAGAAAAAAAAATTTACTGGACATAAAGTCAGCCTTGAAACATAAATAATGCAATTTAAGAAAACTAATCAAACGAGACAACCAAGAGAGAAGATAAGATCAATAACAAAATCCCAGTTAAAAAAATAAAAACAGAAATCAATAAGAAAATTCACAGTCAAGACCATTTTTGTTTTTAAATTAGTATGTCAGACAGGAAAAAAAAGAAAGAAAGCAGAAATTCAAGAAAAAGTGAGAGCATATTACGACATAATATACACTAATTGTCGGCAAATGGATGCCAAGCGGTCCCAGAGAAAATTTAGTCTTTCTAATTGTTTCTAAATGAAAGGAATCATTTCATGAAATAACCTTTTTATATATTTAATGTTTCACAAGGGTTACTAGGAAACAATAATATGCTTGGACGTAAGTCATTTTTCTAAAGTCGTAAACAAGACAATGTGGGAAAAGCAATAATTGGAATTTGCTAAAGGGAAAATAAAGCCCAAACCCAGTTTCCAGAGCCACCCCAAATCAGTAGATAAATTGCTGTTTTGTTTCTAGCTTTTTGTTTATCCCAAATTTCCAACCATCCTCGGATCACTTAATCATCTGCTCTAAATCCATACCGGTTCATGGCCACATGATCCCAACTGTAGACATGGCAAGATTATTTGTAGTGAATAATAACTTATAATTAATGTCTGGATTGGGTGATTGGAGTTGGACTATTAGGGGGAAATTTAATGAAAAAAATAAATAAATGGTACACACAAAATGACACAAGAGTTTAACATAGTTTGGCAGAGTGTCTACCTCCATAAGCAACACGGATCAAATTATTCATTATGAAAGAAAATGAATATAATTGGTAGCAACTCAAAACAACTCTCTCACTTTTTATAAATTGTACACCTCAATTAATAAATAATTAAACTTATTTGTAGGCATTGGAAATAAAAAGAGAAATAGAAGGGAGTGAAAAAGGGGCATGAATGGCTAAAAGTGTATGAATGGTTGAATCATAAAAAATATACCACCCCTTCAATTTTTATGCCTACATGCATGCGTTCTTCTTTTGCCAACAAATCTCTACCTCCGGTAGATACATACAGAGACAAAAGCTGCAAACTAACTCTTTTTTTTTAGGAGAAAACCACATAAAAATTGATCTACTTTTTTCTGTTCGAAAGAAAATAGCTAGAATCCATATCTACTCCATTCTAACATGACAAACTATAATTATAGTTGAGGAAGTCCTATACGAGTCCCTGAAAATGTCAAACGTGAGAAAACTGACAGTATCTAACACTCATCTCAACCAGAAAACTAAGCTCTTAGCTGATCACAAGTTGAAACTCAAAAAAGGTACGCATCCTAGCATGACAAAACCTGTATATGTAATATAATATCCATACGTATATAATTAAGGAAAATCTGATGCAGTTTTCTTTATCAGGGAAAAAGTCAGATATCACACAGCACAAGTTACCAACACCCGGTCCAATGGTCCATGCCTGCCACCCATAAAAATATTGAATTCAGGTCTGCTCATATCGCCACAAGGATGAACATGAGGTAATGATATATATTATAGCATTCGGAAGCACTTCCTTGCTAACCAAGGGAAAGACTTGCAAGTTGGATGTAAGAGTCAACCTTAAAACATAATATTGCACCGAATGAAGACTCGGAACACAACCTCAGCAATAAAATCAATTGATTGGCAGTGATTTCCTATAATTGGAAGAAACTTGTTGGTTGCTTGAATAACAATGTTAGTATCGGTATTCCATTAATTTGATCAATCTGAAACTACAGAATTTTCGCTATGCATGTATTTTTGTAAAGTAATTATTTTAAGTTTTAAACAAAGATTACCTGAAGAGTTAGTATAAAGTACAAAAACATTGTTCTTGTGCTCCAAGAATTTTGAACCGGCATTAGTCCATGAAGAGTATGAAGAGAATATTAAAATCCTAAAATGTAGAGACTAGTACTTAGGGGCTTACCAAGTCTTTCTTGTGCTTGAAGGCTATCCAAAATGCATAAATTAGACCAGAAACTTGGTGAGAGAGAGGAAGCTTCCTGCCATGCTTTGTCACCATGTTTGATTTTTCATATTTGACTAATCACAAGCATAAACAGAACTTTCTGGAAAAATAGAAAAAGAAAACATCTTACCATCAAGCAATCTTTTTTCTCTTTTTATAACAAAACAACTGTATAATTTAAACAGTCCCAAAAAAAATATCTGTATGGTTTAAAACCTTAAGATGGTGTATAAATATACATGAGAAAGAAAGAAAGAATGACAATAAAACGCATCCTAATTATCTTCTAAAGAATCACTTCATGCAAGCAGTATACTAGATTCCTGTTAATTCCTCAGCCTACCTTGAGCTCTTTCAAAGCTTTTAAATTAATTTGACTTGTTCGTCATCAGCTACAAATCAATAGCCTTTCGTTCAAGCCCAAATGGAGTCGCAGCCATTCCAGCTTCACGTTGCATTTTTCCCTTATATGGCCCATGGCCACATCATTCCAACTGTTGACATGGCTAGAAGTTTTGCTAGGCATGGGGTGAAGGCAACCATTATAACCACTGCTCTCAACGCACCTCTCTTCTCTAGAACAATTGATCGAGATATAGAACTGGGTTTCAAAATCTGTATTCTCGTAATGAAATTCCCTTCTACAGAGGCCGGGCTGCCAGAAGGTTGTGAGAATGCGAGTTCCATCAAAACGCTAGAGATGATCCCAAAGTTCTTCAACGCAGTTAGCCTTCTTCAACAACCACTTGAGGAGCTCCTCAGAGAATGCCGCCCCGATTGTCTTGTGGCAGACATGATGTTTCCATGGGCTACAAAAGTGTCAGGAAAATTAGATATCCCAAGGCTCGTTTTCCATGGAACAAGTTCTTTTGCTCTTTGTGTATCTGATTGCTTAAAACGCTACGAACCTTACAAAAGCATACAATCTGATTTAGAGCCATTCCCAGTGCCTGGCCTTCCAGATAAGATAAAGTTGACTAAACGACAATTGCCTTCATATGCTAAGGAACATAGCGAACTCTCAAAGCAAATGGATGAAATTTTACAAGCCGAGCTGGAAAGCTACGGAGTTATCATGAACAGTTTCCATGAGCTGGAACCAGCTTATTCAGAACACTACAAAAAAGTGATCGGAAGGAAGTCATGGCACATAGGCCCAGTGTCACTTTGCAATAGGGACATTGTAGATAAAGTGCAAAGAGGAGGCGAGGCATCTATCGATGGAAATGAATGTTTGAAATGGCTGGCCAAGAAGAAATCCAATTCAGTTCTGTACATTTGTTTTGGAAGCATGTCCAAGACTGACTTTTCAGCTACTCAGTTATTTGAGATTGCAAAGGCTCTTGCAGCTTCTGGACAGAACTTCGTTTGGGTAGTGAAAAATGAAGAGAGAACAAAAGGTGAAGTCAAGGAAGAGTGGTTGCCAGAAGGATTCGAGAAGCAGATGGACGGAAATGGTTTGATAATAAGAGGATGGGCACCCCAGATGCTGATCCTTGACCATGAAGCCATTGGAGGGTTTATGACTCATTGTGGATGGAACTCAACACTGGAGGGCATTACTGCAGGGGTGCCAATGGTCACATGGCCACTTTGTGCAGAACAGTTTTATAATGAAAAATTGATTACAGATGTTCTCAAAATAGGAGTGGCAGTTGGTGCTCAGGAATGGTCTAGACATGAAAGGAAAATTTTAGTGAAGAAGGAAGAAATAGCGAATGCAATTATGCAGTTGATGATTGGTGAAGAAGCTGAGGCACTGAGAAACCGAGCTAAGGCACTCAAACAGATGGCAAGGAAGGCTACTGAAGAAGAGGGGTCCTCTTACTGCGATTTGAATGCATTATTAGAAGAACTTAGAGCCATCAAGACAACTAGCTACTAGAACAGAATGAACACAAATTTGCTTGTCTAATGTACATATTCATATCAGTCAAAAATAAAAGTGTTGTATAAACGTTCTGGTCTTATATATGTATGCAAATTGAGTTGTCTTGTATTCTTTGTAATCGTCAAACATGAGTCCGCGTAATTGAGATGCAGCATCTCATTATGAAAACACAAGAACCACCACTACACTAACAAATGAAGCAAGATGTAAAAGAAGATGAGAGTTCATAACCTTTTCCGTAAGTTACTGTGGGAACATCGAAGCAACTAATCTTCCATGGAATGCCAATTTGAACATCAACGTTTGTAGCACATTCTTTCTCCAATTACTTGCATCTTTTATGAGAAAAATATCTAAAAGGGAAAGATAAACCCAATTGCAAATGAATTCCTAACTCTTGTTTTTACTGATTGAAATTTAATTATCATGAAAATTTATTAAAGAGTTCGTATTGGAAAGTGAATACATTTGACCATGCCATGGTTACCAACTGTTCAAACTTGTCATTAAAAGCTCTGCAGTTAAGTAATCATTGAATTGCAAAAAGCCCTCTAGATTAGTTTATGAAGTAGTTCATCATGACCCTTGAACTCGTGCTTGGCAGCAGTACCAAACCGTAAACTACAAGCAATGGATTCTAAGATAACCCTTGGAAATTTTAATGCCATAATGCCTTTCAAATCCTCCTAACTGGCATCCACTGCTCGCAAATTGAACGTAGCAGGTTCGGACCCCTGCTTTGGGGAGTACCATCTGTTAGGAAAAAGAAAACCCTAACTGTCGAGCTTTAAACCTCCTTGTTGAGGGAAGGAGTATTTGGAGCATTAATTTTCCCAGTGATTGTAGCCGAAACTGGAGGAAGATCCTAAACCTGAGAAGCTCTGTTTGGGAACATCTTATGCACAACTCTAGGAATGGAAAGAAATTTATGGTTGGATAATTGGCACCTACTGGTTCCTTTGTCAAGAAATCTGGAATGAGAATTATTCAACAGTCTAGCCTGCCTTCCACTGCTAAAATCTCAGATCTTTGTTTAGCCCACTGTTGGTACTGTAGTTGTGTTCCATGGAATTTGTCTCCTGATGGGAAGTTAGGTTTCAAACGTCTTCCGGAGCAAGCTAGAATGAAGAATGGCACAGTAGATTGGTTTAACCTGACCTTGTCCACTTCACATACCCGGATATGGTTTCATTTCATGGTTAGCTTTTCTTATTAGACTATCAAGTATCAACTAAAACAAGACAAATTAAGAGAGGAAGGGAGGTGGATCCTACACGTGTGTTTTGCGACTTGGATGTGGAGACAGGAACCATTTATTCTTCACTTGTTGGAGTGTAATTTCACAGGTTAACGACTGTTGGTGACTGGGATTTTGAGTTAGATTTTACAAAAATGTTACTGCAGAAAGGAGTTTTAAAGCTACTGTATTGAGGCTTGATTGGTGTAGCTTTATTTATTTTCTATGGCAGGAGAGAAATTAGAGGATTCATAGCAGTTGTTGCTCTACCTAGTCTTTATTGGCTATTGAAAACCCAAGTTTCACAGATTTCTGCAGCAGATGGGATTTGTTTCAATTTGCTTATGGTTTGTTTGCTTCTTTATTGCTCCCAGGGTTCATTTCCTGGGGTGTGTACCTACTTAATTGTCTCTTGGTTAATGAAATTTTCATTCAAAAAAAAAAAAAAAAAAAACTCTCTGTGCATACCATGAGCTAAGCATGATTCAAAGTCCAAACCTTCATTTTCAACACCAATGACTCTGATTCGCTACAATCCACAACAATTGCATTTCGATGGAAGCTTCAATTAAACCTCACATTAGTCATATTGGAGCTCAAACTCAAACTAACAAAACTATTGAAGTAGCACAAACCATAAACAACCATAACCTATTCAAGAAACAAAATTAGAAAAACTGAAAATTTAGGGATTGTTTGGTATCATTTTGTTTTATGTTTCTGTTTTTTGTTTTAGTTTTCAATTTTTCAGCTTTTTTATTATTTTTAAAAGCTTAAAACTTGTTTGACTAATTTTTTTTTAAAGTGTGTTTAGTTTTAATTGAATATTTGAGAAGTTGAGACTCACCCTCAACTCTCCAGACTCGAAAATCAAGTCCATGATACCCTGTTTCCGACTAGAATCCCGACCCAAACTTCGGACGTCTCAGATCTGATCCCGATCTGCACCTCGACATTAGCCCCGACTCGAAACGCAAGAGCCCTTGATTCAGTCCCGATCTGAACCCTAACACTGCTCTCGGTTCGAACCATGTGCGCCACATATTCAATATTGATTCGAGCTCTAGGTGTACCAGAACCGATCATGACCCGAAACCGATTCAAACACAGGGCCGGATGCCCCTAATTCAGTCTCGATTCTAACCCCAAGCCATCCAATCCTGATATCGGTCCGAAACCCAACGCCGCTCTCAACCCAAACTTCGAACGCCCTGGATCCAATTCTAATTTGAACCCCGAGCATCCCGGACCTAATGAAGTAAACAACTCAGTCTCAAATTGGGTTTAAAACCTCATTATCTACGGCATAGCTGATAAATAGTTTTTTTTTTAACGGTTAGATATTATCTGATAAATTTTCATTCATCCACGCCTTGACTGGAAGGTATACTCACGAAAAAAATTTCACAAGCTCTCTTTGAATTCCAATCCGAGACGGTCGGTAACATCAGAACCAAACATAATTCTCACGCGCGCTATAATTGTTCGAATTTTCTTATCAACGACAATTGCAGAGAAAATGATTCGCTAAGATGACGTCAGTGACACTAAATATCTGTGAGCATATGCATGTGTATCTTTCGCCTACATAAAAGCAAATAAAATATAGAGGATGACCTTGCGTTACAGTTGCAGGGCGGTGGCCGTTGCAGTGGTGGTGATTTCTCGGGAAATGAAGAGCATGTGCGCGCTGCTTCCCCTACGCTGTATAATTCTGACTTCTGGGCTTTTCAAAGTTTTTAAGCTCAAAATGCGAGGCACATGAGGTCATGGCACCGGCAATATTTCGGTTGAAGGTGGTGCCCACAGGGGCAAGGCCATTGTAGCCCGGTGGATGGTTAGAAGTTTTGTTTTGTTTTGTTTTCCTGGTTACGGGATGGTTGGAAGTTAGACCCATGTTCCTGACCCTACGTGGGCTTTGGATTCCAACCCTCCACCTTTATTTTATTCTCTCCTCTCTTTTTTCTGTTTTTTTTCTTCTTCTTTTTTATCAAGTTTATTGTTTTTCTGCTTCTTCATGTCCCATTAGACTAAGCAAATTTAATTTTATTAAAACAAGATTTACTGTCTATCACTAATCTGTAGCTTTTTAGTATCGCTATAATATGTTATGCTTTTACTGTTGTTTAGTAGCATTAGCAAGAGAAATGCCTAGTAATAGTTTTTTTCATTTAGGAAATTAAACTAATTACTCTCTGTTTTTTGTATTGAAAGCAAGCAATTGTCCAGAAGTACCAAACAGGCTCCAGCTCTATCGGATCAGCATACACACCACCAAGCTAGCAAAATCCAAGCAACACCCTAGCATGCCATGTGCTAACATCAGCAATGCTGTTAGACAGAAATGGCCATAGGCGAGGGTGAACGCCCCATGCTCATCCTGAAAATTTTGAAAAGCTCCCGTTATATTGTTTAGTTTCTATCTTTAGCCTTTTTTTTTTTTTTTCTATGAAAAGTTAAGAAAAGCTTTTTGGTGTATACATTTTTTTCAAGGAAAATAAAGGTGTTGTTTGTCTTGCATTTAAAATAATAAATAGGGATGCTTCTGTGCAAAATGAGGACATTATTATTATTATTATTATTATTTATAATGGAGTATGAGAAACAAATCTTTGATTTTTTTTTTAATTTCTATGAAATTGAATAGATAGAAAACAATTGTTTTCAAAAAACCAATTTTATTTTTCAATAATAAACACGTTTTTTATTATTTTTTATTTCTTGTAAAAAAAAAATCAAGTAAGCAAAGAGTCTAGGATGTCCTCAAACACCTGTTAGGAATTAGTTAATATCAGCTAGGTATTGTATTGATTACGCTCGCAATCAAAAAGAAAATACTTTGCCGTCTCACCTAATAATTCATGAGTTTGCAGTGATAATTAAAATATCTGTGATTCAAAATTATTTAATTATTACGATATTTGACTACCATCAATGGCCAGTATCAGCTCTCTTTATGGGTGCACTTTAATTAGCTTTTTGAAAGGCTAGGATGGAGAGAGGAACCAAATCCATCTCACATCTTAAAACATTTTCTTAACTTTTGTCGAACAAATTGAACTCCTAAGCAAACAATATAAAAATAACAAATTATCTTCCTAAAATCAGGGACAATATTCTTTGAGATTTTAGATCCCCAAAGCTTTTTTCTTGAGTATTGAAAAAAGGAAGTTCATAATACTTGCTATCTCTTTACTTTTCCGTTTTTATGACCTCATGTTGTTGAGTTTAATGAGAGTAAATTATCGTCTTCTCTGTTTTCTTTATATATATTATGAATGATGGGGCTAGAACTTGGGACGAAACAATTTTGCAACTGACAATCATTAAAAAAAAAAAAACCTTAATAACAATAAATTTTTGTATGCTTTTTACTATTATTCTTTTTCTGGAATATTTTTTGAGATTTTTTTTAATCATATTCAATTTTTAAACATCTTCCATATCATATCAGTGTCCATATATATGTCTTGTCATGAGTTCGGCCGCCCACAGAAGAAAGAAAAAAAATAATAATAATAACTCGGCTAATATCGCCCGGTGGTGTGAAAATAAAAAATATCACATCAAGGGACCCTAAACGCCCATAGCATTTGCATTGTCACGGTTTAAGGAACTCATGACCAACTGCCCTGTCTACAAAACTCTGCACCTTGCTTGTGTTGGATTTTGTTCGCAAAGCCATGGTTCATTAAAGATTGTACGTCTTGATGGTTAAGATAATATTCTCCCGTCATCTTGAAATAGCTTCTTTGCGTGAATGGTTAAACTTCCCCGCCCCTTACTCAGGAGTAAAGGTTAAAGGCTTGACAGTTGGTCGGATTCTAAGTGTATTGTTCTCATTTGTCAAATCAATTTTATAAAATTAGCATGCGTTAAACTAAAAAAAAAAAAAAAAATCATAAAACTATCTGTGTGTTTTGCGTTTATTGCTCCAAGGATGGCCAAGGACCCCTGTAAGGGAATGTTTGGAACCTATTCCATTTAAGAAATTATGTCATTTCTACAAGTGAAATTGATTTGAATATTTAAGAAATCGAATTCTGTGTTTGCAACAAATTCTAAACCCAGAGAATTGAATTGAATTATTCTATTTAGAATGCTGGACTAAGAAATTGAATTTTATTAGTTTACTATATCACCCTTTGATACCAATTCATGTTTAGCCAAAAGATAACGACCCACCCAGTTTCTCTACACCCTCAATATGGTTTTGCTCTCCTTTGCTTCTGGTTCCATGGAACTTCAACAATCCAGTAGATGGCGTTAATTTGATCACCGTTCTCTATGGTAATATCTTGTTAATTTACATTGAGTTGAAACAAATGCCACATGGGGATGCACATTTTTTAAATGACAATTAGGATAAGATAAAGAAGATTAACACTCACAGTTAGCCTTTTGATCCACGACTTTTGCATCCTCTGGATGGCAACACTAGACAAATCAATGCAAATGATGTCAGTAATCCCGTCATCAATGTATGTTTATTCACACATTTGAGTTCCTACAGCCAAGCTCCAACACCGCCCACAAATGATTCAAACTTCCACTTCACAAATAGACAAAACATCCCAACAAGAACACAATAGCTGTTATATTTACGAGAGAGAAAAGGACAATAACCATAGAGCAAAGGCCCACATTACATTCCTACAATGAAGCACAAGTAGTCTGAACAAGTAGAAACAAGTAGCAAATTAATTTGCAAGTTGCATTAGTCACAGATAGCCACCGCACAAGGGTTGACGAGGAACACATTAGCTGACGGCACAAGGAGAGTTCTCGGAGGTTTTGGGAACTGAAGTGTACAAGGAGAAGACGAAAAATTTTATAATACAATATGAGAAACTAGTGTCACGTATAATAATTATTTTATAGGTTTATTTTAAGTAAAAAGATAGATAAAAAAATAAAATTATATCTATACTCATAAAAAAACGATAAGAAGATCTTAATGTCATGTTTCTTTTTTTTTTTTTATCTATCTATCTATTCAAAGTAGGCCTATTGAGTAATTATAAGTACATATCATTAGTTGCTCCCAGTGTATTATAAAATTTATCAGGAGAAGAGATATTTTTAAGAGAGGGGTAGTTCTGGTAATTTATTTTTAGACAATCCTAACAACCAAATTTCAGAATAAATCGCACCTCTTTGTGTTGGATTTCAAACTCAGATTTCCGTATAATTTTATAAGACTGTTGAATTCAATTCTTTGGACAAAATTTCGTTCCAAACACAAGAATTTGGGTAAAATTGAAGAATTCAATTCAATTCCTACTAAATCTATGCGTTCCAAACAGGCTGTAAGAGATTGAAGGGTGCACGCGACTTCACGTAATTATGGACTAATTGATGGACGTCTTTACGTTATAATCAAACACTTCAAATTTTAATTATAACCAGATTAGCTCTACTTTTACACTCCCCTCTCATACATCCTCTTTCAACCTATATTTAGTTATGGTTCTGGCAATTCTCTTTCAAATTGCCGCTTTGCATATCCATGGGGTAAGAGGTCCAACTTGAGGATCAAAATACGTTACCAAACACCTCTATAATCTGTTGCTTACTGGTATCCAAAAAATAGTTACTGCTTTGAAAATCGAAAGCATAATTAATGCGTCCAAAAATGAAGTATCTGTAAACAACCGGAAAACAGGATTGTCATCATCTAGATTCTAGCTATTTTTATTTCCCCAAGCAAGAAGCATTGAATTTGGTGCCAATTCCTATAATTAATTAATTGTATCTTTCATATTTTATTGCTTAATTCCTTTGATTTGACAAATGGACGAAGATGTATTTTCCTAATCATACTTGATAACAAAGGAAACAGAAATCCAACACTCTTCCCCAACAAAATATAATTGATTCCCTTCAAAAACACGTGGTTTTATCTAACTTGCTACACGTATAAAATGAGTACAAAATCATAACTGTATGTTTTTTCCTGGGTAAATGTATAGTTAGGCACATGACTAAATCCTTATTCTAATAATTTTAAAACGAACCTTTTATAATCTCACATTACTTGAGGCATTCAATACATTAGATAAATTTAATAAATTCTTTTACATACTAATCCTAATATTTAAATAAAAAAAACGAACGAACAAACCTCCTTAAGTGCATCTTCAATACTCTCTTTATATTAAGATTTTTCTTTATAATAAAGAGTTTTGATCCAAATTTCATATTCAATGCTCTATTTATCATAATTTTTATCTTTAAAATTGATATAAAGAGTATTTTTGGCTCTTCAATACTAGAGGGTCCAAATGATGCTTTATCTTATATTTCATTAATGAAAATTAATATTTCCTATGCCACTCGATTTCTTCACCAATAATCTCTCTTAGTTTTATAGATCTTATCAAAATAAAAAGTTAAGTAGAGAATAGCATTAGAGAGGATATTACTCTTCAATCTATATAATTAATGATACTCTCTAATTACATTAAAAATATTAATTAAAAGTAGACATCATAATTGAAGATGTTTTATTTCTAAATGTTTCTTAAGATCAGTAAACTGTACGTTAATCTCCATACCTTTTTTCTTTGTTAGAATAATAATATTATATTTCTCTACAAGTTCAATAACATTCAGTTTCATCCCTACAATTTTTATTTTTTTGATATGCTTAAAGCTTCTGAAAGGATCTCGGGAACTATGATTGTCAAGCAACCAATAAAAACAATAATTACTCGTTATTGTTCTCAAATTTATTACTTTAGCAGATAGATTCCCAGAATTTAGAATGAATTATTAAAATTATGAAAACTCACTTGTTATTATTTTTTTGGGATGATACTATCTATATTCACTTGATTTTTTTTTTAAATTATAGAGAACCTTAAATTAATTTGTTTTTTTATTCAAGTTACTTTATCAACTAGGTTGAATCTTTCTCCCTTCTCCCTAAAATTAATTTGCCTTTATTTTACGTTACAAACAAATTTTTTATACAAATTGATACATCAACCAATAAATAATCAAGCATAGGTTTCGTAACAATAATACATTGATTTCTCATTAAAATTAGGTACATCCTGTGTTCATATTTGATTTTGTATGACTTGTTTATTCCTGTAGCATTATTGTTAGGAGTATCATTCTTTTCCAATGAAAAAATAAATAAAATAATCCGCTTACTTCGGCGAGTACCCATCCATCAATATAATTTTATTTGTTCATGCTTTGTTATGTGTGTGACTAAACAACACATGTATGAATGCACAGTATAATTCATAAACAAATCATCAGTTTTCTTAGACCTATCAGACAAAAACCTCTCTAACTACTAAGTTACCGCATTTAACTGGGAGATGTGATTGAAACATTTTGAAAAAATTGAAAACGGAAATTTGAGATAATAAAAAGCCATAAGAATCAAAGTGAAACGTTTGAGAATTTATAAGGGTGTAAAATATGATCTACCAAAAGAAAATCCTAATGATGGTAAAGCCAAAATAAAAAGAGCCGTGGACACCGAGGCGCATCTCCAAATATAAGCAGGACCCACATCAGACCCATGTACTTGCGGAATTAGATACATACCCTCCTATTTCAACGCAAACTTCCTTCTGCCCATCTCCTGTACCAACACTACTTTCCCGTCCTCTTCTCATCCCTTCCCTACCTATATATATCTACGCATCTCTAGAGACTTACAGCAAAACACAAAGACGAATAGAAACACACAAAACAATGGCTTCTCTTTATCGATCTTTTGCTTTCTTTGCTATGTGTTCTTTGCTTTCTGTTTGTCTTGCCATAGACATGTCGATAATTGATTACAACTTAAAACATGGCCAAGTCCCCGAAAGAACAGAGGCAGAGGCAATAAGACTCTACGAGATGTGGTTAGTCAAACATGGGAAAGCATATAATGCTTTGGGTGAAAAAGAGAGACGATTTGAGATTTTTAAAGATAACCTTAAATTTATTGACGAACACAACTCGGTTGGGAACCCGACTTATAAACTGGGGTTGAACAAGTTTGCGGATTTGAGTAATGATGAATACCGGTCGGCTTATTTGGGTACGAGGATGGATGGGAAGAGAAGGTTGTTGGGTGGTCCAAATAGTGAAAGGTATTTGTTTAAGGCCGGTGATGATTTGCCGGAGAGTGTTGATTGGAGAAAAAAGGGGCTGTTAGCCCTGTTAAAGATCAAGGCCAGTGTGGTATGTTTGTTACTTCTTCTTCTTTTTTTTAATTAGGATGTTGCACAGCAAATCGAGGCCAACCCCTTTTCATATAATAATTTGTCTCCGATTTTCCTTTTAACCTGATTTTTGTTTTTATGTTGTGTGTTTTATTTTGGGGTTTAGATTTGATAACGAGCATGGGACCAGGGGCATGCTTTTTTCCTAAGAATGTTTTCAGTTGTGGTCTTCTTTGTTTAACCTTTATACTATTGTTGTGTCTGTTTCTTATTTTCTAAGACTAGATATTTTGTAAGGGTAACTATTTTTTCTTTTTTACATTAAAAAGGGGCTTGGTTATGATTTGCATTGTTTGAGTTTTTGGATGTGATTGTTGGGTTCTAAAGATAAAATCAGAAAGAAATTCAACAAGTTAATTCGGTTTATTAGGGATTTTTGATGTACTATGTGGATTGAACGGTTTGGAAATTTTGTGAAAGCGTTCTGTTTTGGCCAGCTATTTTTTAATTTGAATTTTTTTTTTTTTTTTTTAAAGGGAGTTGCTGGGCATTCTCAACTGTTGGTGCGGTGGAAGGGATAAACCAGATTGTGACTGGTAACCTGACATCTCTGTCAGAACAGGAGTTGGTGGATTGCGATAAAGTATACAACCAGGGATGCAACGGAGGTCTCATGGACTATGCCTTTGAATTTATCATTCAAAATGGTGGTATTGATACCGAAGAAGATTACCCCTACAAGGCTATTGACAGTATGTGTGATCCTAATAGGGTATGTGTTGGATAGTTCTCTTCCCTCTCACTTTTCAAATTTCAGACAATTAATGTTTGTTCTTTAGTCAGATTGCTATATTGCACATCTTTAATGCTTTTGATCAATTTGTTTTTTGCAGAAAAATGCTCGAGTTGTTACAATTGATGGTTATGAAGACGTTCCCCAAAATGACGAGAAGTCATTGAGGAAAGCTGTGGCAAATCAACCTGTTAGTGTTGCCATTGAAGCTGGTGGAAGGCATTTCCAACTCTATCAGTCGGTAAGCTCGTTATCTTACTACCTAATTTTATGCTTTGGCATCAAGGTTTAACCATCAGAATTGTGTGTAATGCATCCTAGGCTGTTAAACCTGAACTCATTAACCTTTATAGCCTAGTCACTACAGTGCATCATTTATAGGTCATTGGTTTGGCAGCATGAAACTATTGAATTTCTGAACGGGACCGCCTCTCACAAACTGAATTTTAAGTACTTTGTGCACATTAATTGATTACATGTTCTCACGTATCTTTTTATTTTGTCCAGGGTGTTTTTACTGGTTCCTGTGGAACACAGCTAGACCACGGTGTGGTTGTCGTTGGGTACGGTACAGAAAATGGTGTAGATTACTGGATTGTGAGGAATTCATGGGGTCCTGCGTGGGGAGAGAATGGGTACATCAGGATGGAGCGTAATGTTGCCAGCACAGAAACTGGCAAGTGCGGAATCGCCATGGAAGCTTCATATCCCACCAAGAAGGGTGCAAACCCCCCAATCCTGGTCCCTCCCCTCCATCTCCAGTGAACCCTCCTCCTCCACCTTCCTCAGAGTGTGATGATTACTACTCGTGCCCTGCGGGAAGCACGTGCTGCTGCATATATCAGTATGGTGACTATTGCTTTGGATGGGGTTGCTGCCCTTTGGAGTCTGCAACCTGCTGCGATGACCATTACAGCTGCTGCCCCCATGAGTATCCCGTCTGTGACCCTGAAGCTGGAACCTGCCGAGTGGTAAGTATTGTCACCTGCTCTTTAAAATACAAGTTTAATGAGTTTGTGAAGGCAGCTTCTGAAATTTTATCCTTGTTTGCTGATATGTAACAGAGCAAGAACAATCCATTTGGTGTCAAGGCATTGACTCGTGCGCCTGCTAGAATCACTCAGTCTCACCATGTTGGTGGTGAGAGGCGAGCTGGTAGGAGGTTCAACCCTGTTTGAGATATTACGGGGGTCGTTTATGGTCTGCTAGAGCAGTATGTGGGTTAGGGGTTGCCTTGCCAAGACAGGGGATTCCTGGCTGCAGGGAGGAAATGCTTTTCTTTGCCAAATTCCCAAGTGCATGTTTGACTCTGTTTAGTTCTCCAAGAAACCGATCGTCTAGTTTTTCATTATTTGTGAATACTTTCAATGCCTGGTGAAGCAGATGCTAAAAACTTGAGAGATTGGATCGCATCCATTTGTAAATATAATCAACAACTATTGATTCCCTTGAATTCTGATTTTCATTTATGGATGGTGTTTGTCTGATGCAATTGTTTTGAATGCCAGTTCCCTGTTCACATTGCAATTATTTGATGAATCCTTGAGGTGCGCCGATGGGATCCTTTTACCTGTTTTTTGTTTCCTGCGCATGATGGTGATGGCGGGCTTGCTGAATTATTGGATAAAATCAGCTCATAAATCATTACATTTTACTTTATATATAAAAAGAAGATCAAATTATAATTTAGTTCCTTTAGTTTTAAGAAATGAATAAATTAGTCTCTTTAGTTTCAATAAATGAATTAATTGATCCTTGTTTTAGGGACTAATTATTAGTATTGATCATGCTTAGATTAGTAATATTTTAGTTTAAAAAATGATTTTTTTACCTCAAATAATTTTTGTATAATATCTCTTTTTTTCTATTAAAAAACCAAACAAATTGGAAGAACGTAAAATGTAGTTTTTGAAATAAAAAGTTTAATTAATTTTTTAAAAAATTAACAAGTACTAATTTGTAATTTATTATTTACTCATAAAAACACCAAAATAACAATGCCTTGTCTTGTCTCTATTAGGTTAAATCAAAAGAAAAAATTGGTCTCAACGGCAAACCATTTTTTATTTTTTTCCAAAGAGCTGTTCCTGAGCTATTACAACTTACGAGACTTCGGTTTTTTTTTTTTTTTTTTTTTTTTTTTTTTAATATGGATGATTTATATTGAAGGAGACAGACTTCATTTTGATATATAAAGCTGATAGCTAAGTCATTAAAAAAAATTTTTAGAGGAAAACATATACAACACGAGTTCATGGATGGATGGAATTAAATCAATATACAACACAGTTCATGGATGGATGAAATTAAATCAATGATAATGAATCAACCATCCAAGTAGGTTTGACGCCCTCACCGCGGTTCACTCTTTATTACCCAAATAGGAGTAACCGAGCGAGTCGCATCACGATGACACAACCATTCTTCGAATTAACCTTAGACACGTACGTGTTCATAAGTTAAGGGTTTATTATACCATAAAATACATATAAAATAATTTACATAATACTAACAAAACAGTGGAAGAAATTATAAAATTTATTTACAGCATCATCAAAATATTCTTCGACACTCAAACCCCAAAATTTCAATCAAGAGAAATTTCGATACACTTATGTCACGCGTGAGCTTTTTTGGAGAATCCAGCAGCATCCTTATCAGTATTAACATCATTTTAACCTGTCATGGCATGCAAGAACAATCAAAGTGAGTCGAAGCTCGGTAAGTAGAGTGATGCATGTGTTATGCAACGTTTTTCCGATCGCCCTCACTATTCTCATTAATTTGAAATATTAACCGTACCCTGGATATTAGTAAGTATGCTCTATTATCGGTGATTGTCGAATAACCTCAACAATCATTTACTGTTGAATAACCTCAACAATCATTTAGTGCCGAATAACCTCAGCAATCATTTTTAATTCGGGTACCCTAGGTGTAACCCTCGTAAAAACCCTTATCCGTAACGCGACGTGTATTAGAATAATTCTATGTATATGTATGTTAAGAGTAAGTATAATTCTCATTTCATCATGAGAAATTAATGCTTGAAATATGTGATTTATGTTAAATTAAAGTTATTGTGCTTAAGATTAATGGTTTAATTATTAAAGAAATCAAATATGCAAAATCGAGTGTTTTAAGGACTATATTCTGCTCAAGTTTTGTGTGAATTATTTGAGGACTTTAGGGTAATTTTTAGGTAAACCTTAAAGAATGAACATTGTTCATATATGTGTTTAATAGGCGTGTATAAAATTTGATAATATTTGGACCTATAAATTAAGAGTTATACCAATTATAGTGAGGGTTGTTTCGAAATGCATTCTGCTGGAATTTTGGGAGAAGAATCTGCCCGAATCTTGTGAGATTGTTTTGATGCTGTTAGATTGATTTTTGAGCAAAACTTAAAGAATAAAATTTGTTTGTCTATGTGTGTACTAGCTCTCTATAAAATTTCATAAGTTTTGGAGACATATAGAAAGAGTTATTCACATTTTAGTATAGATGGGTTAGGAGGTAACACTTGCTGAAATTTTAGAGAAAAAGAAATTCTGAATTTTAAAAATGGAAATTTTCGAACTTTTTATGAAAGAAATTATGTATAATTACATGAACCCAGCTTATTAATGTGTTTATTTAGCCTAAGTTTTCTTTAGCCACCTAAGCACTTGAATTAAATGCTTGGAAGCCAAATCATCACCTTTGACTTCCAAAACATGCCGACTTTGCCTTCCAAGCTTCCTCCACTTTACATTTGGCCTAGTTAAATTTTAACACTTATGATATAAATAAATGAGATGATAAAAGGTGAGTATATAAGGGAAAGAGAGGGTTAAACGGCTGCCATTTTTAGGCCAAAAACCGTAGCCATCCATAATTAAAAGAGAAGCCAAATTGAAGAGAGGAAAACAACAAAAAGAGAGAAAGAAAGAAAAGAGAAAGAGAAAGGGAAAAAGGAAAGAAAAAGAGCTAAGGAAATTCTAATCAAACCTAAAAGAGGTAAGTAGGTTTCATTTTCTTGGCTGATTAATGTCTTAAATTATTTTTTTAAAGTTATTTTGTTAGTGTTTATTTCATGGGTTGTAATAATTTTCATTGGTTATATGCTTGATGCTTAGGATAAATCTATGTATGGATGCCTTGTTGTGATGATTTATGATGTTATGATTTTTTTTAAAATGTCCAAGTATGTGGTGATGGATTGGATTGAACTTGGACTAAATTTAAGTGAACTAAAACATGTTTAAAGTTAGCTTGGAATGAACTAATAAATTAGTGTTGATAAGGAGTAAATTCTGTCTGAATTTTGGGATGCATGTTCAAGGATTTTAGGTCGATTTCTGGGTGAAACTTAAAGAATAAAAGTTATTCATCTATGTTTCAAATAACTTCTTTTAAAATTTCTTGGTCATTGGATTCGTTTACAAAGAGTTATATCCGATTTAGTATGGATAGCTCTAGACAAACTACTATTAGGCGGATTGCTCCCTAAGTTTCAAAAATTTGTAATTAATTGTGTACTTGGTATTTAGACCTAATTTTTGGATATGTTATAAATAAATATGTCTAGTATCTAAAATAAAATGTTTAAGATTTAATTATTTCTGAAATTGGAAAATTATTTACTCGATTAGGAGTTGCCCAAGTAATAAACCCTAAAACCAAAAAAATTAGACTTTGACAAAATTAATAAGTTTGGAATAAACTAAATGAGCTTGGACTAAATAAAATGAAACTAAATAGAGTCAATGGACCTAGGATAAAGTTAATGGGCTCGGATTAAAGTAAATGGACTTGAACCCTTCTTTTAAATATTAATGAAACTAATGAACAATATTAATAAGCGGAGATTGTGTTCTTACTTGTGGGTATCATGATTGGTATGTGAGCAATGGATAAATTTTGAGTGTGGGTTAGACCATGAGTATGGCATGAGAATGAAGGGTTGGTACCCGAATTTGGTTGAATGTGATTAAATATGTCATCACATGCATCATGTGCATAGTGGGTGGTTTAAGACAAGTCAATTGATTGAGAAATGATTTATACATCTAGATTTGATAACCTAACCGAAATAAATGGGTATTAGTAGTCCGAGTACTCTAGGCTGTGTGCCCGCACTATTAGACGATGAATTTTCGCTAATAATAGTTACAACGAGAGTTACAACGAGGGATAATTCCGTTATAACGGAAGATGATCCGAGGATCATCTAGATGAAATCAAGTTGTGTGCTTGCACCTGTTAGACGGTGGATTCCCGCTAACGATAGTTACAACGACGGATAATTTCATTATAGCGAGAAGGTGATTTGCGGACCAGATCGGATGATAAATAGAGTAGACTAGCTAATACCTAGCATACCCGAGATTAAAATTTATGAGTATGGTGGGAAGTCAAAACAACATTGCATATCACGTGCATCACCACAGTTACCGAGCTTCGGCTCACCCCGTTGTTATTTTTTTTATGTCTTGAAAGAAAAAGAACAAGTTGGTACGGATACGGCTGGCTCCTCCTAATCGGCTCATGTGAGGCACCATATATTAGTTTTTATTTTATCTATAAATTTGGGGTATGGAGTTCGTGAGAAATTGAATATTGCTCGTAATTTTTTATTAATGTATTTAATTATGTTATGTAAATTTTATCTTAAGGAGTTATATATGTAATGTACTTGTTAAATTTCTAAGAATATCATAAGAAAACTACTTAAAGTTTAGGGTATGTCGGCGTAACACGCTTCGTCCGATACCTACCTAGTAGTAGAAATATGGTCAGGGTGGAGACGTTACACTAGGTATCGGCAAGCTCGTGCGTTTCATCACTCGGTGATCGCATTATCACCTACTCGCTCTATGACTCTCTCACGGTGATCTCATTATCACCTACTGCTCACGATGGAATTACCCCTCGTTGTAGCACACGGTTAACGGAATCATTCCTCGCTTAACTACGTTAGTAATAAAGCACACACACGGTTTCATGCTTGTTATCCATTCCATTCGGTTCGATTACCAACCGTTTTATCTCATGACTCGATGGTTTTTCTCGATTTCATATCACCCCCAAATGCACGTGATGCACATGGTATTATGTTTAACACATTCAACTAATTATGCTATCATCATTTTCTTCTCATACCATTCCCGTGTGCGACGCACACTCGAGACTTCACGGGTATTTCATGTACCATTTAAAATATTCAAGATGAGAATATAATTTTTATTCATCGGTAGCATTCATTGCATAAATCTACTTCGTACTTATGAGTTTTTCCTTTTTGTGTACTAGGTAAGTCTAGGCTCGGATTTTCGATGTATAACTCAATGTATGAGATTGGTTAATTCTAAGGATTTATACGTGACATGCTTAAGCTAAATTTTTGCTTAATCTGAACATTTAATCTTTGTAGTCGAAGTCAATTCATAAAGGGTCCGAGTTTTAATCTCGATTTTTCTTGAATTCTCTTTTTCCATTACTATATTTATATGTCTTGTAATCATTGATCTCTACTTCGTTCATCTCCACTTCTTGATCTCTACTTACACAAAAGGGATTCAATGTTAATCATTTTCTCTCCTAGGCCAAATGGTCCCAAAATAAGCAAGAAATTATTTTTCCACTTCTAGGTTACTTCCTTTTTAATGACTTACCAACTCATACTTGGAAGAGTTACCATGATATTCTAGGACCTTAATTTTCCTAAAAGATCAATTATTTTCCCATTTCCCCCACTTGGCTGAATGGTTTTAGCCTAGGGAAACTCTAAAAGGGTATTCCTTTTTCTTTTCAAGTTAAGCTTACCAAACCTAGGTTAAGTTCAATCCATTCGAGTCCATACCCTTTTTCTTTCCAACCCATCCACACAATTAAACCTATCAAACAAGCTTTGCATGACAACAAAACATATAAATCCATCACAATTTAGTGAACCCTAACTCCAACGCAAACAACCATAGCAATCCATTGAAAAATTATTACAAACCCATGAAATAAACACTAAAAAAAATAACTTAAGACATTAATCAACCAAAAATGAAACTTACTTACCTTACTTGAATTTCCTAAAGGTTGGTTAGGCTTTTCCCTTCTTTCTTTTCTTTCTTTTTCCTTTTATTTTCCTTTCCTCTTCCTCTCTTGTTTACCGTTTTTCTCTCTCAATTTTGGTGGTTACAGTTGCCTAAAAATTTCTTATCATTTGCACTCTTTCTATATATATATACATGCTTAAAGTCTTGGTCTAAGTAAGTGTACAAATGGCTGGATTTAATTTGGAAGAGTGGAAAGTTAATGGTGAGTCATGAGAGAGAGGTGGCAGATTTGAGACAAAATGGGTGAAGTTTGGTTATTAATTCATTTAATGCATTGCTTAGGTCTCTACTAAAATTTTAAGTTAAATATACACCCTAATTAATTTGATTTAAGTAAATAAACATAGTTTCCTTCATGAAATTTCAGAAATTTCTTTTCTTAAAACTCGAAATTCCTTGTTCATTCTTTTTCCAAAAATTTCAGCGGTGATGCTTCAAGACCAACGTACACTAAAGTGGCCATAACTCTTTATATATAGGTTTAAAAATCATAAAATTTTATAAAGATCTAGCAGACACACGGACGAACAACTTTTATTCTTTAGGTTTTACCCATATATCACTTTAAAGTCCTCAAATAAATCACATAAAAATTTGGGCGGGATGTAGTCCTTAGCAAATTGATTTTGATATATATAATTCACATAAAATTCGGGCAGAATATAGTCCTCAACACACTCGATTTTGATATATATATAATCACTCTAAAGTCAATATAGTCATCGAGTACATCTGATTTTGATATATATATATATATATATATATTTTTTTTTTTTTACGGGGGTTACAGTAGGCTTATTTGATTCATCTAATTTTTTATATTCATTTATTTTACTATTCTAAACATACTCATATCTAGGTTTAATCTTTATGATCAGTATTTTTAAAAATTTATTATGAAAATATTTAAAATTATGCATTAGAGAAAGTATTCTTTAAGCTGTATCAACAAAAAAATCAATTTTGAGATGTGCAAAAACTAATGTGAAGACACTTTTAGGTTGAAAGAAATAATAATACAAAAAAAAAAAAACATACTCATATAATAATACCTTTTTTTTTCTTTTGGGAAACTAGAGATGAGGACAATTCATTCTATTTTCAAGACGTAACTGGTTTAATCTTTAGGATGAGTATTTTAAAAAATTTATTATCAAAATATTTAAAATTATGCATTAGAGAATATTCTTTAGCTATATCAATAAAAAAATCAATTTCGATATGTGCGAAAACCAATGTGAAGATACTTTTATGTTAAAAAAAATTACTCATGCAATAATACCTTTTTTTTTTTGTTTCTTTTGGAAAACTAGATATGAGAACTATCCATTCTTATTTCGAGGCGTAAGAGCATTCATTATCAATTTATTTATTGCTAACTACTAAACATTCTTCTTACTAACAAAAATTTAAACGGTGCCGTTTTCCTTGTGTCTGGTGAAATGGTTACTGCATACCGTATCCTCATCCGTCTCCACCGTTGGATCTGAATAAAACACCAACAGCAATCACCATGACGCTTACTATTTTTGTTAATCCGTTGACCAGACCGATCACGTGAAGTAACGCAATCACCAACAAACGGCTTCATTTCATTAATTGACAATCTCAATCTCCATAAATCTCTCTCTCTCTCTCTCTCTCTCCTCCCCAACCCTAATTCAGCTTCCTCTAATTCAATCTCAATCAGGTAACAATCATTGCCTTAGATCTCAAATCGCAGATTTCGACTCCTCTTTTGTTATTTTCAATTCAATCCACATCTCTTTTATTGTGAAGTTACTGTGATTTTCGTCTGGAATCTAAATTTTTGAAATCTAGCTATAATTTACTAGTGTGTGGATCAATAATTGTCTCTCATCAAGTAGTTTTAGTATATTATAAGCCTAAGTTCGATTCAGATGACTCACTTTGCTCTAAATTGGAGTGGAAGCAGCAAAAAATCCATCTGGCATTAGTGATTTCTCGTTTGTGATAATGGTGATGCAGTGTTTACTCTCATATTTTAAATTTTTGTGAAGCATGCTTGCTTGTATGGATATCATTAGACATTCCGCACCTCCACAGGAAAATGTTGTTTTGGGGCTTTGAATATTGAGTTGCTGGGATGAGTATGTCTGTGCGGAAATTTCTGTTTCCTTAGTGGAATACTTGTTCTTACATTTATGATTCTTATCGTTCGTGATTGGAATAATAAGGGGAACACATTTTTGAGTTGTAGTTATTCGTGCTTTGGGCTTTGGTGCTATATCACATGTGAATTATTTTTATGGTATTTATTAATGATAGTTGTTTTGCTAAGCGGGGTAATTGCTTATGATCCTCACATGTTATTTTTTGACATGCAGCAGTTCGCTATAGTTACTACCTATGCTGGTTTCTTGAACACTGCTTTTCAATAATTATCAAGACATTTGGGAACAAGAATGGATTCAGAAAGTGCTGATTCATCACCTCCACCTGTTAAAGCTCCTGATACACAAGCTCCTCCTCCTGCTGCTGATGATCCTATGCCTGACAATTCTGCAAGTGATGCACCATCAAAACTATCTGCAACTGGCATAACGTCATGGGCCAAAAGTTTGAAAATCCCCCAGCCATTGATTTCCTCGCCAGATGACTCACCAACTGGAAATGCTGGAAAATCAACCTTTGCACGTTTTACTAGTGGATTTGGATTGCGCTTGTCTCCAAAATCTCCTGCGGCAGATAATAGTCCTGAAGGAACTTCAGCAACTTCACAACCTGGTATATTTGGAACAATTACTAAAGGGTTAGTTGATAGTTCCAAGAATGCAGTGAAGGCAGTACAGGTCAAAGCTCGGCATGCTGTCTCTCAAAATAAGCGAAGATATCAGGTAGGATGATGGCTTCTGTGATATTGTTTCAGTTTTGTATAACAGGATCATATATAGCTTTATTTTTGGTTTCATTCATGTTGTTCCTGTGTATTGGTTAATGTTGCTTCATGATTTTTTATTGGTGGTTCTTTTTTAAACAATTCTGCTGCAAAGAGATATTATGTTCTGGAATGACATAATCTGTGTAGATTTTATTTTTGTGCTGGCTATCTTTGTTGTTACCATTGTTATTTGCATAGCACACCATTTTTTTAAGTGTCTGATGTCACTGTTTGTTCTCCAAGATAGGACTTGCTTATACATGCTTAGAAAATGAGCCAATTCCTTCAATTGACAACTAGCATACGTGTATAATTTATGATTACGGGATCACAAGGGTTAAATCATGAGGACAATTCATGTTTTTTTTTTTTTAATTGTTTATGTTCATTTTAGAATTTTATTTTATTTACAACTTTACATCTAATTATAACCTTGGCTGTATCTTTCTCTGCAGGAAGGAGGTTTTGATTTGGATATGACATATATCACAGAGAATGTAATTGCCATGGGGTTTCCTGCTGGTGATATGAGCTCTGGGTTTTTTGGATATGTTGAGGTAAGCAGATCAATCTGCACTGTAAAGTTGCCATATTGTCTTTTATTAAATACTTAAATGTTAATGCATCTAGCTATCTGATGCAGGGGTTCTATCGAAACCAAATGGAAGAAGTGATCAAGTTTTTTGAGACCTATCACAAGGTAGAAAGGCATTCAGTGATATTTGTTGTTACGTCTTTCTATATTCTGACTTTCACATGGCTTCTACTTCCTTGTTCTGTGTCAAATATTGTAACATGGTAGGTCGATTTAATATTGGCTTGCCCATTGTTGTGTGATTATATTTCAATCTCAAGTGACAACACACTTTACCAAAAACTGTATTTGCATTTTGTCTATATTTGCTGCCTGGAAGAGACTGGCTCTTGTCTTGGCTGATGCAATGTTCTGTACTTTCTGCTTTATTTGGAATACGAATCATACAGATCATCTAAATTCATGCATATGTGATTTGGATAGAGCAGCTCTGTGCATGATATTTGCCATTAGCACTCTATGCATGCTACATGCCTTCTGAGTTTCAGCTACAGTTGTATTGGTTGAAAGAGACTTCTTGGTTCTGAAGTTAGCTTCTCCTTTCGTGAAGCTGTTGAATTTTAATCTTTGTTTTATAGCTGGTATCTTAAGATTCTGTTTTACCTTTAATTCACTTTCTATTTGCAGGACAAGTATAAAGTATACAATCTTTGTTCTGAAAGGCTGTATGATGCATCCTTGTTTGAAGGAAAGGTGAATATAACATTATCTTTGTTGTCATTTCATATTCAATCTCAATCTTGCTGAGGCTGTTCCTGGTATGGATTGCGTGCCTGGAGTAACACCTGATGGTATATTCATATATTTGCTGTCAAACTCTTGCATCAGGTGGCCAGTTTTCCATTTGATGACCACAATGCCCCCCAACTCAGCTGGTAATATCATTTTGTCAAAGTGCTTACTCGTGGTTGAAGGAGGATATTGAAAATGTTGTAGTTGTACACTGTAAGGCTGGAATGGCAAGGACAGGGCTGATGATTTCTAGCCTTCTTCTGTTCTTAAAGGTCAGAAATATTATGTGTTTGTAAATGTAGATGAGTTGGAAGGAACATAAAGTGACACACTAATGTTTGCTGATGAGTTTTTTTCATCTTTCTGCAGTTCTTCCCTACTGCAGAGGAGTCTATTGACTACTACAACCAGAAGAGATGTTTTGATGCAAAAGGGCTTGTTCTGCCCAGTCAAATTGTGAGTTTAAAGAATGCACATTGACGATACTTCCTTTATTAGCTGAGGTTCTATATATTTTTTCTAAGATTTTTGTTTTCGTTTTTGAAGAGATATGTAAAATATTTTGAGCGTATCTTAACATACTTCAATGGAGAAAACCAGCCTGGGCGTAGGTATACTTCTGGCTCAATGTTTCTTTAAAGCACCTTCAATTTTGTAGTTGCTGACATCATCATTTATGCAGGTGCATGCTCAGGGGATTTCGGCTTCACAGGTGCCCATATTGGATCAGGCCATCTATTACTGTTTCTGATCATAATGGTGCGTTGTGTTATTCTTGCTCTGCCTTCTTTTATTTAGCTTGGTGGTCCATCCATTTGACCGCAAGGAGGTCAATGTCTGCTTGTTTTGTTCCTATTATTTGCCATTCCTACTTCATTATTGATCATTATATAGGTCTGCTCTATTTGATGGTTTATCTGTGTATTTGTGGCTTTTTGATTGATCTGATCTTGTTCTCAGATCTGATTTTCTTTTTTTGAACTCTGTAACCCATGTTTAGTATTTAGGACCACATTTCATAGGCTCGTGTACGAGCTCTCTTTGTTTCTCTATCCATTTCTTTCTTAATAATGACCATTGATGAATTGAAAGACAGCTATACATTCTCAACCCTTGCCCATTAAATACATGTTTCTGTACCTGCTACACAAGCATATAGGTGTATGCATATGTGTAGAAGAGGTGTATCCATAGCACACTGAGATTGAAAATAAAAATTTTGAAAAAAAAAGCCCAAAATTTAATTAAAATACACACACAATCAAGCTACCTGTAGTTTGGATTTTCTCTAACGCTTTCCACATTCACAGGTGTTCTCTTCTCCTCAAAAAAGCATCCCAGAACCAAGGATTTGTCGGTAGGTCTCATTGGGTGCATGGCAGCAATAAGTATAGTGCCAATACTCTGTTAAAAGTTTTATTCTGCGCATCTGGTGTCCATCCCAAGATTTTTTTAATTCTTTACCCATTTGAGTTTTCACAAATGTTTCTTTCCTTCTGCAGCCAGAAGATTATTGGTTTAGTGCTCCCAAGAAAGGAGTTATGGTCTTTGCTTTGCCAGGGGAGCCTGGTCTAACAGAGGTGGCTGGAGACTTCAAAGTCCATTTTCATGACCGCCAAGGGGATTTTTACTTGTCTGTTCTCTAGTCTTCTCCCTCATGAATGAATCTCTTTTTAGATTTTTAGCAATGTAAAATAAAGGGCTTTTACTAATGCTTCTTTGCAATTCAGTTGGTTGAACACTACGTTTACGGAGAACAGAAAAATTTTGAACACCAGCGATATTGATGGATTCGATAAGGTAAAGGGCCTTCATCATTTTATTGTTATTTTTTTCTGAACAATTGCCTGCCTGTGTGAGTGGTAATAATTAACTAATCCCTAATAGCTAGATCTGTTTTCTATTTATTACCTAGAGTGAGAATGGCTGTACCTTTGTCAATATCAATGTTTTCAACCTTCTCTATCTACATAATAATTTGGCTGGGTTTTGTGCAGAGGAAACTGCCTTCCCCAGGATTTCAGGTTGAGGTTGTGCTTGTAGATTACGATGGCACTGCTTCAACTGGGTCAAATGCTGAAACTGCTGTAAAGAAGTCAGATGAAGGTTCAAGTACTGCTCCTGCATCAGTTGATGCAGCTACAGCTGCACGAAAGCAAAATAAAGACCCAGGAAGTAATGATAAAGATGACGTGTTCTCAGATAATGAGGCAGATGAATCAGTATCTTCCAAACGAAAGCAGGCTCAAGCATCCTCTGCAGGGGGAGAATCTTCTGCCACACCTGCCCCTAGTTCTGGAACCGATAGTAAATCAGATCAAGTTGCAAATTTAACCCAGACAACCGAACAATTTTCTCTGGGAAAAACAGGGTCACATACTGCTAGTCAGCTGAAAAGTGAAGCTGTAGGTGGAACTGTCTCAAGCCTTGATGCTAACAACTCCCAAAGTGAATTCAAGGTAATGGCTGCCGATGCATCTGTCTTTACCTTTGGAGATGATGAAGACTACGAAAGTGATTGAGTAAGGAGGAATGTAGATGATGTCTTACTTCAAAGATCTGTACATAAATCAGTTTGTTTGTCATACGTGTACCTGGTGGTGATGTTCAATCTATACGTTTCGTCTATGTCTTTATCTGGCTTATTATTTTGTAAGTCGAAAGGCAGGCTGGTGGCGACAATAATCGTTGCATTATTCTGTGTAATCAATTAGTGGAATTGTTTCATTTTTTTTATTGGAAAGAAATTGTACTGCTGTGTACATTAATTGGTAAATTGATATTATCTGGAAATAGTTGTAAGCACATTTGCTTCTGCATCCTACATTAAATAAGCTGTTCTGCAAACAGGCTCTTCCGCTCGCTGTATGAAAAGCAATTTCGTGGAAATCATGGGTTTCCATTCACAGTCCACGACCAAGGTTTTCGCTTCTCTTCGTGCAATGGAAAAAATGGTTCTCTTTGTCAGTTTGTCACCATCCAAGAAACGAATACAACAAGTCGACAGCCCTTGCCCATTCCCATTGTTTTATCTGCCCGTGAAGAGCAGCATTTAATTATTTGCAGGCTTGGACCATTTCAACTAATTAGACGATCATATTGGCCAGTGTCAATGAAAGACGTAACGAAGGTGGGCTTTTTTTTTTTGAACAATAATGAAGGTGGGCTCCTCCTGTTGTATTCCAGATTGTACATATACTAAATCAACTTTTTTCTTAATTTAGGGGGGGGGAGAACAAGTGCGCCGTTGTTTTTAACTTAATTTAAAATTATTTTAATTAATAACTTAATTTTATGGCTAAAAGTATGTCTCGTATTTGATAACCAAATTTGGAAGTGGTCCTCTAGGTTAGTAAGGTTTCCATTATTATTATTAACCTTTTTTTTTTTTTTGGTTTAATGGAAAAGCTTGATTCCTAATTCTCTGTTCTATTAATTCTGGCTTGAATCTGAAATCATTGAAAATTTTAAATCTTATAGGTGTTTCGTGCAAACATACATTTGACAATTGAAATTCAAACCTCAGGTCTGGTAATGAGAAATAAGAATTACATTAGCTAGCTATAAAATAAAAAACTGGTAGAATTTAAAATTAATCACACTTGCAACCGGGAATAAAGATGACTAATAAGAAACTAAAAAGTCTTATCTTTATCATGTGTGGCACAACACAATATCAAATATTCAATGTATCTATCTTCTCATATGAGGAAAAAAAAATCAATGCTTTTATTATCTTCCTACAAAAAGTCATCTCTTTTTTTTAAAAAAATAATAATAATCAATTTTTACTTACACCCCAAGAAACAACATCTTTACTTTCCGGTAATAAAAGAGAAAAATGTTTTTATTTTTCCCAAAAAAAATAAAAACTCTTTTGTATAATGTTCAACTTGTACTAACTCTCGTACAAGAAACTATATTTTCTTCATTTTTATTTTTATTCTTGGTAAGAAAAACGTTGAATTTTAATAGGCAGCAGATTCGTGGCAAATAATAAGGAGCGTGTCAGTTACGAAGGCGCGTAAACCAAAAACAAAATACAGGAACTGTTACATTACCGACCCCAGAAATAATAAAAACGAAATTACCCAGAACATCACCCTAGTTTATTCATCTTTAAGGGCAGCCATAAATACCGCAACCATATATATTCTGCTCCGTCGTTTCCAGAGAAACCCAAAAAAAAAGAAAAAAGCATCGTCTAATTTATCAGCCTTGGACTTGGTTTTTCTTTTTCGTGATCTGACAAAAACATTATAAAAAAAAGATTAGACATTTAGGGTTTGCTTTTTATTACGAAGTCAACCGTATTGTCAATAAATATTATCAGCCTGCTCTTTTCTTTCTATAGAGCCATCTTGTACCATGTCGGTTTCTGGTATTCAAGGCCAGCTTCTTGAAGTCACGGGTATTTTTTTGTTGCTTAATTCTGTTTTATTTCACATGATTAAACAAATCCTTTATTTATTTAACTTTTTTTTCTGAGATTGATTGTTGTTTGCTTGTTTTTTTTTTTTTCTTTTTCTTCCTTTTGCTGCAGTTGTTGGGTGTACCAAATTGAAAGACACAGAATGGATTTCAAGACAAGATCCTTACGTTTGTGTAGAATATGGTAGCAATAAGTCTCGTACAAGAACCTGCACAGGTACTTAATCTTCTAGGAGTATTAGTCAATTTTTAGATCTCAAATTGGCTTTAATTTGAAGTTTTGTTGAAAACTGATATTCATGATGATTGTTTTTTTTAGATGGAGGCAAAAATCCTACATTCCAAGAGAAGTTTGTGTTTACACTAATTGAAGGGTTAAGAGAGATTAGTGTTGCTGTTTGGAACAGCAATACGCTAACTTTTGATGATTTTATCGGCAGTGGAAAGTAATTAGCCCTTAACCTTTCTATGTAATTATGGTTTTTTCATTTGACCCTTTCGGCTTTTGGTTTGAAATCTAGATTGATTTTTCTTTTGTTACTGAGTATAGGATTCAATTGCACAAGGTTCTTTCGCAGGGTTTTGACGATACAACTTGGCCACTTCAAAGTAAAACTGGAAGGTAGTTATATCTACAATTTGATTGTTTTAATTGCAAAGGAGGATTGATCTATCTTTATTTGTTAAGTTCCCTGTCATTTAATCTCAATATTCTGAAAAGATGGTTTCTATTTGAGTAGAATGCGGCAATATGCTACTGTTGAACAAATGTGTTCCGTTTTTGATGTTGTATCTAATTAATGATGGATTGGTAAAGTTGGGACCTGAGCTCGAGTCTTTGTCTCTTTGCTTGCAAGAGTACCAATACATTACAAGCCCTTTGGTATATTATATTGCATTCTTAACAAAGGAGCACGGGGATTTTAGACATTGATTTAGATGTCAGTTAAGAGTGCATGTTCACATATACATGTGCAATTTTGTGCCTTGATGTGCTGTTTTATGCTTTGATTTTTTGGTAATGTTGTACCATCACAGAAATTAATTGCAAATTATTTTGCAGCTTTCTGCAATTTATACTTTCAGTTCATCAACTTTTATGTGGTAAACTTCTTCCCACTGCCTACTGCATATTATTACTTGCAACTGAGTTTTCTATTCAACTTTGTGAGTCAAGGATGGAGAAAAAAATGACCACTCAATTTCAAACATAGGACAAGGATATTGCCTCCCCTCGCTGGGGAAGGATAGTCTTTCCATTTTGAGGCTGAAAGAATACAACTCTCAGCTTTTCTATAGAGTGATTATATTATTTTGGAGCAGAGATGAAGTGGCTCATAGGCATAATTTCATCCTTTAGAAATTTTCACAATCCCTATATCTATCAGAAAAGTGCATTGGTGCTCCTGTATTAGATATCAAATAAACCAAGTATGCTGCATTGATAATATATACACTCTGACATGTTGGTTTTGTTCCAAAGCAGGATGTGTGATTTATTCACTGTTTACACGTGTTTTTACCTGTTTGGTAATAGTCTAACAGTACATCTCTTCTAAAATGTGCGCTTGTTTTTTCTTCTATCATAGGCATGCTGGAGAAGTAAGACTGATAATGCACTATGCAAATGCCAACGTAAGCTATCTCTATGATGCTGAAAGAGCCCTTATATTTTATGAAGATATTTTGATTGGTGGAAGCTGAATAACTGTGTACTGTTTCTTGCAGAAAGCAGCAACAAGCTATGCTCCTTCAGCACCACCATATGCAGCCCCTTTTCCTCAAGGCTCAGTGTACTCTGCACCACCACCAGCGCATGGAAATCCTTACGCACAACCACCGACAGCCTACCCAGCTTCATCTCCTTATCCCTCATACCCTCCTAGTTCAGCATATCCACCCTCAGCATATTCCCAGCCACCACCTTCTGCTTATCCTCCTGCACCATACCCAGCACCTTCAGCATATCCTCCACCACCATATCCACCTCCACCTCAAGCTTCACCCTACTATCCTCCAGGTTGCTGAATGTTACATTTTCATATTTATTTTAGACAATGATGCTTTTTTTTTTTTTTTCCTAATTCTATTGTTTTAATAATATTAAAACAATCATTTCACTTTTTTTTTCAGGCCCTTTTCCTGGGATCTATCCTCCTCCGCCATACTGAAATGATGCTTCAGAATGTCAAGTGTGAAGAAACAAAAATGTAGAATGAACTAATATGTAAAGAACACTAGAGTTTAGTGATGCTAGCTTTTTCTCTACATTGAGGAGTTTTATGTTTTTGTTGACCAAGTATTTTCTATGAATGTATCCCAGTTCGCAAAATAATTTTAAAACTTGTATTTTTTTCTTGGGCTATTAATAACCAGCTGCTCCAGCACGTGTCAGTAAATATCAAAGAGTTCAGTATGCTTTCGATTCAGTGACTGTTTTAGATCTTCCTTGTTGCTATACTTAGCTCGCACCTTTAGTTTTCATCAACTAGCAGCCACCCCCAACACACGATGATACGGAGGTACATACACACTCCAGGGATCATGATCTTGGCAAACAGACTTGAGCCAACCTGCCATCATCTAGAAAATAAAGATTCACCAGGACAAGACTATGGTAATCTTTGATTAGCAGCTCAGATTGTCCAGTTTAGAAAAGGTATAGGTCGCCTGGGAGATGGGAGGATACCGCTTATGGCCTTTATGGTTTGAGCTTTGTTTCAAATTAAGCCCCCGGTATACCTGAGCATTGGATTAAGATTTCCTCTGTCTCCATTTCTCTACCTCAAAATAAATGAGCATATGATTTGAGTGTGTCAAAAAAATATACTAATTACTTGCTCTCTTTTTTTACCCTTCCATTTAACCTAAACTATTAAATTCAAAATTAATTGTTAGATTTGGAACAATATATATCATATTTTTTCAAAAAAAAAAAAAAAACACACAAGAAAAATGAAAAACCCAAAACTTTGACCGATAGGTTCGTTATTTGCTGCAGGATATGAGTTGATAGGGTCAGACATCTTAGCCATCATCTGCTTGTTAAAGAATAATTGGTTTTAAACTTTAATCAAATTATTAGGTGAGCGGTTGCCTTCACTCTTGAATTACGGTATAAGTACCTGCTTTCTCTATTGATTTACAGTCTAAATCTTTATTGTTAGAACTAATCATTTTTAACTTTGCAGTGATGAGATAGGTTAACTAGAAGCACTTTGGTTCACAGATGCATGCATATTGACCTGTCTTCCAGTTAGAATCCCTAGTATCAATCCTACATACTCTTACAAGTTCCGGCATTTGATCATAATCATCACACATGAACTTAATAAATTGAGATCTTCCAAAATCATTAATTATGAGCATTTGTAAATCATTGAGTTTGCACTGGAATATACAATGTCACATTCAAAATATATCTGGTTCGGGTTCATGTAGTGGTGGCCATGTGAGACTTGTTAGTTGTGGATGAGTCAAAGGTGCCAAGTTCAACTGGTCACTTTATAAGTAGTTGTGATGGATGCAAACATGATTCTTTGGGGTCAAAGGCAAATGAGGTATGATTGGCGAGTTTGAAAGGTTTTGGTTGTAGTGGCTGACAAACTCACCTCCCTCAACTAATGAGTGCTTCATGGTTTGATTTTTGAATCTTTAAAGTAGCCATTGCGAACGAAACTTGATCAAAACATCATCCACAGTAGCTAAAAAAGTGGAAGGTGCTTGAAAAGCATGGCAACCTCTTTTTGTTGTGTCACTGTAGTTGATTTTAAGTTCTGGGCAGGGATCAGACATATCATTTTCATCAGACATTTTTATTCATTAAAAGTTGATTAAGTTGGAATAGTGGATTATTACTAGAACGAGTCTTTCATAAATGGCCTGGCTGTATTATGATGTAGACAGCCATGGAACCAAGTCCTGATTAGCAGTTGGCTAGATAGTCAATGTTAGTATTCACCTTGTTACTATCTCGAAACTAAAACCGATGTCCCGTGATACTATAGTAGAAGAGAAAAGAACTATGTAATCCGTCAAAATTTGGCACCAATTTTTCCTCTGAAACACGTTGAGCAATATATTTGGATTTTTGGTATTTCTTTTTAGGGTAGGGTACACTCACATAAAATTTCATATATCTTTTTTAAATCAGGACTTGTACAATTTATTCACCCTTGGACTGGTATATGTAAGATTTTTTGTTATTGTGATCTTCTCCTTATGTTCAAACCAAAATAATTATTGACACGAGAGTGATTGTCCAAGACCGTGAGGCTAAAATTCTAAGACTAGTTGGACATGAACGAGGTCGAGAGTTGGACATGACCTTAAGGCCAAATGGTTCAAGACCAATTGGACTGAAATTTATCTGTCTTTGTTTATTTATTTTAGATGTTTTATTTTATTTTTATTTCATAAAGATTTCTATTTATGTTTAGAGTTCATTTTGATCCATATATGTTTTGAATCCGTATGTATTTACGAGTTCATATTTAATTTGGATTAAATTAGTTAGTTCTTATTGAATTTGGATTGGATTTAAATCCAAATAGATCTAGGTTATTATTTTTTAAAATTGTTGAATTTTTACCCTAACTATTTATGTATGTAATATGAAAAAGCATGCTTTGATATTTAGAATAAAACGTTTTGAGAACTTTTCTCCAAAATTGTGTATCATTGTGGTTGGTTTATAGAGGTTTTTTTTTTCTTTCTTTCTTTTGTATCCTTGAGTTGATTAATCATGGTGCTATCGATCGCTATTTGGTAAGATTATAATGGAGTTTTAAATCTTATCAAAATCAATTATGAGTTGGTTATTTTTGTATATTTAGTAAGTTTTGGCTAATTTTAACTTAGAGGTTGGATAGTTTTAGCTATTGTAAAACTTCGAGTTTTTAGATTGTTTGTTGCTTGAGAATTATGGTTGATTGGTGATTCTTGTTTTAGTTATTGTTGAAATTGTGAATTATGAGATTTAGCTAGTGGTGTTTGTTGCTTGTTTTTGGATTTCATTAATCTTCGTAAGACCGATGTCAATTATATAAAAAGAAAAACTCCATTAAATCATCAAGATGAGTCTTTATAGATCAATGACTAGCTCTTTTGTATTCCAAGTTTTAAATGGTTGTATTCACATCTGGATTGGTAGGTTATTAAAAAATAAATAAAGTACTCGTGATCTTCTCCTTATATTTGAATCCAAAATAATTACATGGAAAGAAAAGCTCACATTTTAATTAAGACTAAATCAGTCAAACCTTCTATGAATTTTAACTCATTTGAAATTGAGCGTATACACTTCAAATTTGATTTAAAAAATGTCTGAATTTTTAATTTTTTGAGATTTAGTTTATTTAATGATTTTCAACCATTATTTTTTTCTAAAAAATATTCAATTATTTGTATTTTAGCTTGAAGTTTTGCACTCATATTGAAAAAAATTCAATCTATTTTCTACAAAAGTTACACAATTTTTTAAAATCAAAAAGTATATTTTTTTATTTTTAAAATATAAAAATATAAAAATAAAAATAAATAAAAAATAACTGAAAATATCTCAATTTTTGTGAAAAGCTTCATATAAATTTCACCGAATGATCTTTATATAAAATTATTTACATGATTGTTATTTTCTTGAAATAAATAACACAAAACTAAAGGATGAATTAAATTTAAAAAAATTAAAATTTTAAGAATTTTAAAAACTAAATTAAAAATTTAATTTTAAATGAATTAAAGTTCAAAAAAGAGTTACTCAATTAACCTTTAATCAATGCTGCCAGCATATTTTTACGACATTCTAAAAGATTGGTGAGTGGGAACAGAGGTGTTTAGGACCAAACCTTAGAGTACAAAAGGTGGGTTAAAGTTTGTTTTGACAAATAATAAAGATGATGTTACAGCTAATTTGGGTGATACTTGGAAATCTATAGTTGAAAAGGTGGTGTTTAATCTGCCATTCAATAAAAGGGCAGCGATTCTAATCAAGACGGGCCGATTGTGTGAGAAATCAATTACTCAACGCCAGCTTCCATCTCAAAATGTAACTCCTGAGAGAAAATTTACTTGAAGTGGGAATTGAGCCGTACTTTTGCTCGTAGATGATTAAAATAGATCCAAATGCAAAAAACCAAATTATTCTGGGGAAGAGTACTAATTTTTGTCAGATAAGAGTTGTTTTTTTGGAAGTTAACTTGTGTCTGCATAAGAGAAGAAGAGCTTTTGGAAGTTTCTCGGCGTTAACTTGTGTTAGGTCAATAATCCCTTTTGTCCATTACGTTGTTTAATAATTTTACATGTGTTAGGTGCATTAAAAAGAAGAAGATGATGAATTTACTTCCCAATAAATGGAAATCGAGATGTGTACTGACTGACAACTAGTCCAAAACAGGATCACGCTCTTCATTTATTAAAAATATACAGTGTAGACAATGGTCAATGCCACTGTTTTGAACTAGTTTCTCAATATTCACCGACTGCATAGAAAATTGGAGATGAGAACAATGATTTTGACCTTAACAATGGAGACACGATTCATCTGCTTGATTTGGACAAAAGTTAAGATTAAAATTAGAACTTTTGTTTAATTAAGGAAATTCAGTGGAATTAGCTGAAAGCAGCATGGGGATCAGTCTAAGAAATGTGATATTTGCATATACATAGTTCATCTCTTCTGCTGACAATTAATCTCATATTCGTATCCCCCATTAGGATTTTGGGTTTTGTTTATTTATTTTTTTATTATTATTTTTTAATGATTGCTCCAAGATAATCAATCATGGGAAACAAGAAAATATTAGAAATATAAATTCTCGTCCTTGATGTAACAGTACTCTAACAACATTTACATGATTATATTAAATTGGGGTGAGATTTTTTGATTCCATTGACACCCACAAAATCTCTTATGGTACATTTGCAATATTACCTGTCTTTACCGTGGATGCAGCAGGAAAAAAATCGGAGTGGGTCCACAATTGATGCCTGAAAGAAGTCAAAACAAATAAAAAGTTGGGAGTGAAAAATAGGTAGAGGCCAAGAGAGGGTGAACTTTTGAGTGCATGCCAATTGCCAAAGAAAGAAGAGTACCTCCTTATCATGGTGGCTGTCGCTGGCCGCACCGCAGACGACAACACTCCATCAAATTTATTGACTTTTCCTTTCGGATCCGATTTTTATTTTTTATTTTTTAAAAAAAAATTGGTGACCAAGAAGTGAGTGAGAGTCAGCTTGTATATTTTTTTGGGTTCTGTTCACCACACGCAGTCAAAGACAGTGAATCTAACGGACCGGGAAGATAGTTGACTTTAGGCGTTAGTGTGGCATCGCGTGGAAAAGAATATATGAATTCGCGTAGATGGAAAGTGCTTTGGCTTGTTCACTTGCTTGGTCTGCGTGGTTTGTCTTTTTGGAAATTTCTTCTTCAGTCCAACTAGCAAAATATTGATTGGCCTTTATATATATATATATATATATATTTATTTATTTTTTTTAAATTCGTCTTTAAAAGTGAGCGTGACTGGCGTGAGTGTGGCCTTACTTTGCTGCAATGATCAAATGATAAAAACATTATCCATGACGAAAACCTATCGTAAAATTTGAGAATATTAGGTGACAGTATTTATAAGTTAATTTGTGAGTAATAAATACTGATGATATGTATCGTTAGTGAATAATTTATGATTAGATTCAGAATCAAATATTAACCAATGCATATGCACAAATACTTGGTAAGAATGATTAAAATTTCATTTGCGTGATCTTTACTCCAAAAGAAAATTTTGAGGGCGATGATCTTCTTAAAATCAATGTGTAAATCTCAATACTTTTGAGAGCTGATAAGTGTTTGGAGAACGATGGATCTTTCTTTTGTGTACTAAAAAATAATGGTTAAACATTATGCTAAAGGATCGAAATACTTTTATAAAGAAAAAAAATCATGATTCTGTTTTGATATAGCTTATGAAGTTGTAGTTTAATTGTTATCTGCATTCTTCCAACTCTTAAATGGATTCGAATCTTTGATCTTTCCTATCCTTAACCTCTGTTTTTCTTTTTCTAGAGTGCGGAATTAAAAACTTCATAGAAAAACAAATTTTTGCCATCTATAATAATAGCGTATCTTAATCCTAAATTACATAACGGAAAACTCTACTTCCCAGTTCCCATGCCAAAATCCCTGCGTGTCCTGCCTCTATCTTTCTAAATTCTAGAGCAGCATAGAGCACAGTGACTTTAATTTGGTTGCTATAAGAGGTTGTTTTCATGGGGTCCGGCTTGGTGTGTGTGCCGTTACGTACATTTTCTGCCCGCCAAGCAAACACACCGAAAGCACAAAAAATGGATTTTCCAACCAAAACCCAAACACACATCTTTATGTTATACTATTATATTGCCACAACATATTAAAAAAAAAAACAAAAAAAAACAAAAACAAAAAGAGACAAGCGTGAAACCCACCCTGTTAAAAATCAATCCCTCCCTTCCTTCTCTTTCTCAACTTTCTTTCATCCTCTCTTCACTCCTTAGCTACCACTCTCTCTATCTTGCACCAACACAAGAGAAAAAGACCCTCAGGAGAGAGAGAGAGAGGGAAGGACAATGGGTTCTTGTTTGAGTAATGAATAGTGTGCCAAAACCTCTTCTTCTTGGAAGAAGATGGCAATACCAGAACAACAAGAACTAGAACAAAATGAACTAAACACACAACAAGAACAAAACGCTTCATTCTTGCTAGATGCACTCTATTGTGAAGAGGAGAAATGGGAAGATGAATCAGAAGGAGAGGTTTTGCAGGAGAGTACTTTTGTGAACAACCCTTCTGATGATCCTTATCCAATTTCATTGCTTGAACAAGATTTTTTCTGGGAAGATGAGGAACTTCTTTCACTCTTCTCTAAAGAACAAGAGCAACAAGCTTCTGTTAGTGTCAACAATGTGGCAAACGATCCTCTTCTTTCAAGGGCCCGTCAAGAAGCTGTGGATTGGATACTTAAGGTCATTGCTCATTATGGGTTTTCAGCTCTCACATCAATCCTGGCTATCAATTATCTTGATAGGTTTCTTGTTAGCCCTTGTTATCAAAATGATAGTAGGCCTTGGATGATCCAGATTGTGGCTGTTACTTGTCTTTCTTTGGCTGCCAAAGTCGAAGAGATTCATGTTCCTCTTCTCTTAGACCTCCAAGTATGTCAATATAAAGCCTCTCGTTTATATCATTTAATTATTATCATCTGTTAATTCTAAGATTGATACTGAGAGGTTTTCTTTTTGTTCTGTTCTATTTTAGGTGGAGGACACAAAATATGTGTTTGAGGCCAAAACTATCCAAAGAATGGAGCTTTTAGTGCTTTCAACACTGAAATGGAAGATGCACCCAGTAACTCCACTTTCATTTCTTGACCATATCATTAGGAGGCTTGGATTAAAGACTAATGTTCATTGGGAGTTTCTCAGGAGATGTGAACATCTCCTGCTCTCTGTTGTCTCTGGTGAGTAAAGCAAAGCTGTCTTCAAAACCCCATCTTGACCCTAATTTAGAATTTTCGATACGAACAAAGAGTAAAGAAAGATTCCATCTTTAGTTTTAGTTTCTCATCATTAGATTTACGTTGAGTTCTTTATTCTTCTTCCCTTTATTTATTTATTCAGATTCAAGATCTGTCAGTTATCTTCCTTCTGTGTTAGCCACTGCTACTATGATGCATGTTATAGACCAAGTCGAGACCTTCAATCCCATTGACTACCAGAACCAGCTTCTTGGTGTTCTCCAAATAACTAAGGTATCGTATATCTTGTCATCATTCATTAATTTTGTCTCTTTAAGGCCTTAATACAACCACATTATCACTCATTATTGCCAATGACATAAATGGCTCAGAAACCGCATTTGTTTTTTAACAGGAAAAAGTAAATGGATGTTATGGTCTGATTTTTGAGCTATTATCAAGGACCAAAGCCAATGCCAATAGCAAGTCTAAAAAGAGAAAGTTTGAGCCAATGCCTAGCAGCCCTAGTGGTGTGATTGATGCTTTTTTCGGCTGTGACAGCTCAAATGATTCTTGGGCTCTGCAAGGGTCATCAGTCTCTTCGTCGCCAGAACCTATCTTTAAGAAGAGCAGAACCCAAGACCAATGGGTCTTTGTGGACATTGTTGGCAGCCCACGTTAAAACCTCTCTCTCTCTCTCTCTCTCGGACCGCTGCCTTAGCAATATTTTTACTATGTTTATTATCTCTCTCTAAATTGCCTCCTATCTTGACAATTCCGAAGTTCCCTATGAGAGAGGGTGGCCTTTTAAAGAAGAGGGGCAAGAGAGTCATCTCCTTTATTTAGCCTTTGGCGCATGCACTTCCTTTTCATGTATAAGTCTCTTTGAGAGCATACTTTATATGGACATATTAATATTATATTCATAAAATAAATTCAAAAATCATTTTTGTTCATTTCTATTGATATTCTCTTGTTTGTTTTTACTACTTGTTTAGCTCTGAATCAATTTTTGCTCAGAATTAAGATGGAAGGAATTAGATTATTCTTCTCATGTACAAGTCTCATGATTTTTTTATGAAATACTTTTCTGGGGGCAGAATGACACGTAATTGTATTTACTATTTAGTCTGTCAAATACAAATAAGTACCTTACCTCAATAAATGATTGTATCTGTCCTAATCGAATAATTAGACCACTAACACTGGATGATTAAGGTTAAATAATTGTTAGATGGAGATTATAGGTTTGTCCGTTTGCATGTGAAGAGAGGAGCAGCTTGTCGGCCAGTGGGGTTATTATGGGGTTTTGCTTTAGGGAGAGACTTTGATTGGAGAGTTTTGACCTCGCTAGAAGAGCCAACCTTCTTTTTGTAGTCGAGTGTGACCGTAATTCCCTCCCTCCCTCCCTCCCTCCCTCTCTCTCTCTCTCTCTCTCTCTCTCTCTCACAACTCCATAACCTAATCCCAACGTAAAAAACACCACCTGTTGCTCTCAAGATTTTCTACGCTTTTTTGTTCCTAGAACTGTTTGTAGAGTGGTGCCCTCTTGGTATAGGCCATAGAGTAGACTAATAGGGACTTCTTTCTTTCTCTACTCACCCAGAGAAGAGCGTGGGCAACTCGAAGAAGCTTGCATGGATCTGTAAGGTGGAGTGCTGTTTATGCCCAATATTAGACGATAACCATTTATTTGCACATGCATCCATGTTTTCATTTTCCTTCTGAGCAATTTTGCAAGCATATATAGTTTTTTTCTTTAATGGTCCGGATATCTTTTTGCACTGCAGAACTTTGTCATATAATTGTATAAATGAGAAAAATATATTGTTATACCTATTTATATCACTAGTGAATTTCATGAGATGAAAAAAAGTATAAAAATAATTCATCTTGTCGTCTCAGCTTGCAAACGTTGATAAACAATCACAACATCGCACAATGCTGACCTAAAAAAATCACAATAATAAACTAAAAAATAAATAATCTATATGACTACTAGATATAGGAATGGATCCTTTGAAATACTAATCTTAAAAATTCATTTTGAATTTAGAAAATTACACTATATATTGGATTTATAACGACAATACTTTTTAAACAGAACGACATTTTTAGGGTTTTTTTTTTCTTGTACTAATTGCCACACACACGCATATATATATATATATCCTCTAATTAGCAGAACAAGTTCGAAATTTTGAAGGGAAAATCTAAGCATATCATACCATCTAATATCATATCACGTAAATTATTATGTGCAAAAGGCAGAACTGCTAATATATATGTAGGCCAGTGTCCGTCACTATCGTCAGAGAAAGTCTCTGATATTTTATATTTTCAGGCAGTCTTGTCATATCTGGCTAGTGTTCCCTCTATTGCCAAATCTGGTGGAGTTGATAATACCTTTCAAGAGTTGACAAAATAAACTTGCTTAAAGAGTAATTAATGTTTGGATTTATGAACCAAATAGAGTGGTAACTAATTACGAGCAAGCTGTGTAAAAAGCGTTGCTATTTTTTTTTTTTTTTGTGGGAGAAAGTAATACAGTACTCTTGTTTGGCTAATTGTGCTTATGCTCAATTATCTTGAATTCTTGATTGTTCAATGAAGTACTACAGGCGTACTATAACGCTAGCATCAACAAAACGACAATCAAAAGAATGCTCATTAGGGCTTTTTTCTCCCCTTTAAACAATTGGTTTAGATTGCATAGCTTTAGTATAGACTAATCTTTTCTTGATTCTCTTCTTTTGGGTTGTTATTAATGGGATTAGACTAACTTCGATTAACAATTTAATTTACTCATCATAATATCTTTCTAAGTTAAAGTAGTACTATATCACAAAAGTTGGGAATACCCACTACCGCTATAAAGATCACATATTCTTCTTGGTCATACTTCCTAAATAGCCACAGATTCATGATGCCTTATTTTAGTGGACTTTAATACAGGCATGCTCATCAACCCTTTTGGTACTTCTTTTGCTTTAATATTTCTTCTTTTTTCCCCTCGGAGTTTCTCTTCCTTTTTTCACGTGTTGAACACTAACGTTGTTTATGTTAATCTAAGCAGTGCATGCCAGCCATCTGTGTCGAAAAATGTTAATCCACAAAATATGATGCAAGAATATCGTCATTAATTGTTATGTTAGTGTGAATCATATGGTAATAGACTTTAATTAGATTTTCTAAAATGTGTTTTCTTGCTTTTCCTTTTTTTTTTTTTTTCGAGTTTTGATGATCATGGTATTATCGGGGAAAAGTTTCACACACCGATACTAATCAAGTACTTCTCTAGTCGATAAAATGTACAATTAATTGATATCTGGCATATATATATATATCACATGAAATAAATTCAAGAATATTAAAAAAAGAAAAAAGAAAAAAGAAAAAGAACGAATCAGGTATTGTGAGGCTTAAAAATTTTAAATAAAATTAGAGTTAACTGTCAAATTCAATTGGTATAATGATATTCTCTTTTTATAATGCAACAAAAACAAAAAGAAGAAAAAGAAGAATTCAAACGAATGAGTTGTACATGCCACCGTAAGAAATTTTAAGAAAAGAAGTTAAAAAGTTAAACACCACTTTCTTTGTGGTACGAAAGGAATCTCGGATGAAATTACAAGCTTTATAATTATTCATTGTTTTGCATAAACCCCGTAGCAAGCAATGACAGTTTTGCGAAGAAAGCAAGAAGTCTTCCCACAAAAGAAAATTTAAGAGAAGAGGATAGGAAGAGGTTTTGGTTTGTAGTAGCTAGCCTAGTTTGATGGGCCACTCAAGCTATAAAAAGTGGAAAGGTAAGGGTCGGAGATTTTGAATTTGGGAGACAAAATCTTTCATGTTGTGGAGAGATGTCTTGTTTTCTTTATTTTTTTTCCCTCTGCTTAAGGTTAGTAGAGTGTGCTAGGGTGGAGACGTAGATGTGCATGCCTAGTGTCATGATTCTAGAGAGAGAGAGGAGATTGTTGTTTTTGTCAAAGGGAAACAGCTTGCTCTCAAGGTCCAAAGCTGGTGCGGTCAGTCTGTCCCTACACCAATAATTGTAGAATAATATGATCATGGCAAAGGCTTTACGCCATTGTGATCTTAAACTTTCTTTTGACCCGGTCTCCCCTTGTTATTGTTTCATTAATAAATCACATTTGGACCAAAAATCATCATGTAATTTTTTATTCTACTCTTCTCTTGTTCACAGCTGTAAAGTTCTACGAGACAATAAAATGGAGATCAGGACCATATATGTTTGTGGGCCCCCTCTCTCTCTCCTTTCTTGGGCTATCTCTCCAGCCAGATGTGTTGTTTTTATTTAGAGAAAACGGAAGTAATTTTCATTGGAAGTCACTGGAAATGCCAGCCACTTTCATCTTTTAGTTCATGGACAATCAATAGTCCTTTTGCCTGTCTGAAACTACATCAAAATGTTATGAACTTACCCAAACACCAATGCAAAGAACTGTTTCCATGACCAAATATCTATCGAACTAGTTTGTCTATACATTCGTTTGCTTTCTGAAGCCTAAAAATGATCTGGTCTTTAAATAGTTTGTAACATAGCGATGAAAGTGAGTAATGTCATAGGTTGAATTTTGTTACCTTGGACCAAAACTAAAAAGAATGATGCAGTATAGTCTAAAATAAAACAAATGGACTTTCACTTTCATTTATGGAGAGTCAAAAAGAACAGTCGAGTTTTTTCATATCCTACCTGCCAATTACCATTTCAAAATTCAAACCAAATAAAACAAACCTAAAATATAGTATTAGTATTTTTCCTGTGAAGAGTGTATATATATATATATAATCATTGGTTATGCGATATATAACACAACCGATCCCAGGCAAATTAGAGGATTTGTGGTCCAATATCAAAAGAATGGGCGACTGAGGTATGCGATATGTAGCACAAAAGATCCCAGGCAAATTAGAGGATTCGTGGTCCAACATCAAAAGAATGGGCAACTGAGGCCTGACATTAGGGTACTACAAGACAGGTTTCTGTAATTATGCTCGAAAACAAGTTCTGAAATTTTTACCAAAAAAGTTAGCAAAGAAGTTCGAACTACTTTTAACCTGACATTGGCCAAAACTTTAACATCGCGTTCATTAGTTCATCCTTCTTGGCTTTTTTTCCTTTGATTGACCGTAACAGTATCACATGAACCTGCTACCTTAGTTTTGATATTATTAAATCACCCACTCTTGATAATTAATCATGCTTCACTCAGTTTAATGCAACAAAATAGTTTGATTCTAGCACATGAAAGCTTATTGTTTCAAAAGAACAATTGGATACTTGATATTTTTAGATTTGGGATACTGTTAATATGTGCCTTTGATTCAGTTAGCAATTTTTTCTCGAGTCAAAATTCTGACTATGAGAACGATACATAACATATATTGATTGGATAAATTTTTTTTACCGTTGATCTCATATTTAAGTAGAAATTGAGATTAACTCTCTTTTTCTCAGAATAAATTGGGATTAATTTATTACAAATCTAAAATGTCAATAATTCAGTTACCCTTCTTGGAACTATAAGGATTGATATGATAAAAATGGAAACCCTATGGACCTGCACTTCTAATAACGTACAAAATTACTCGTGAAATTAATTTTAAAATCAAAAAGTTTATTTTAGGATGAGATGAAATAAAATCAGAATAACCCAC